GTGCACTGTGTGTGGGAAGTCGTTTGCAGGGTCATCAGTTCTTCAGAGCCACCAAGAATACATACGGGAGAGAAACCCTTCAAGTGCACTGTGTGTGAGAAGACATTTGCACGGTCATCAGTTCTTCAGAGCCACCAAAGAACACACACGGGAAAGAAACCCTTCAAGTGCACTCTGTGTGGGAAGGCATTTGCAGAGCCATCATCTTAAAAACACAAGAGAACACACCAGGAGAGAAACCCTTCAAGTGCAGTGTGTGGGAAGGCATTTTCAGATTCATCTACTCTTAAAACACACCAGAGAACACACACAGGAGAAAAACCATTCAAGTGCACTGTGTGTGGGAAGGCGTTTGCACAGTCACACATCTTATACACACCAGAGAACACACACTGGAGATAACCCTTCAAGTGCAGTGTGTGTGGGAAGGCATTTTCAGATTCATCTACTCTTAAAACACACCAGAGAACGCACATAGGAGAGAAACCATTCAAGTGCACTGTGTGTGGGAAGTCGTTTACACAGTCAGCACATCTTATAACACACCAAAGAACAGACAGGCATCAGAAGATCCACAAAGAGTGGAGTCTGAAATCTGCTTGTGAAAGTCAAAGTGCTGCAATGAGCCCATCCCTCGTGAAACAAAAAACTGAAGAAAATCCCAGCTTGGACACTTTGAAAGGTATCAAGGTGAAATGTGAAGAGGTGAAGGTGAAATGTGAAGAGGTGAAGATGAAATGTGAAACAATGGTGAAATGTGAAGCAATGAGGTAAAGATCGAAGAAGTGAAGGTTAATATGAAGATGAAGATTCAACTTCCAAATTCTAACCTTCACATCGATGGAGGCAACGTAAGCAGGAGGAGAATTCTGATTCTGAGGCAGAGCGAGGCAACTCCCACGTTTGTGGAAGTGGAGGTGTGGCTGGACTTTTAGACAATACAAAGTCAAGGGGAGATTCGGTAGATGTGTAAGCTTGAGACAATGAAGCGCCAATAGATTTACCTTTGTCACAGGCCTTTAATGAAAAGAATGTGAAGGTGAACCCTCAATTCCTAGGTTCAACCTGCAGAGTAAGAGCGGCCAGTATTTATGGACCTGTGGGTTGGGTAGATGTCTAACCAAGAGCGAGAGCCAATAAGCTCCCAAGCTTCCACATATAATTATAATGTTTTGCATTCATAAGGTGCTTGCTTAATTCCCTCAGTAGGGTGCGATAATTGATGTGTAATCTCCGTTGTGTAATTTCTAGATAATGTTTGGAATTACCCAAATCTTGACCATGATACCAACATGCAATGACCTAAGCATTTGAATGACACAATAGTATGTTTTACATCCACTGTTCAGCAGACGGTGGAAATTTTGGTTAATGTTACTGGAGTAGCCATGGGTGCCTGTCAGATTTCAACATTGAACCCTCTGCAATAAATAGATAATGTGCGACCACTTGGCTTCCCTTAATCTGAGTGTCGACATGCCAGCCTGAATGTTTCTAACCGACGCAGATGTTCCATTTAGAGGGGTCCACGTTTCACATGCCTGTAGAAGGGAGGGCATGACTGTGGCTGAGAAGACCCGAAGCTTCGTGCGGAGCGACAGACCAGGTGGCTTCCACTCAGCATTGCGCAGCTGATGAAAAGAGAATGCCGCCCGACTGATTCGGACCACCCACACACAGTGTACGCACACAGACCGCAGTGTAGACGTATTGTACACACACACAGTGTCTACACAATAATGTTCACACTGAGACCTTTACCAGTGGCAAAAATATAGTAATAGGTTTTTTACCCTTTCACTGGTACAAAAACTGACACTTTTATACAAGGCATCATGTTTGCAATAACCACAACACAAGCAGTAAAATGCAAACCAGTTGAAAGGGTAAAAACCTATTACTATATTTTGCCACTGGTAAAGGAGGTCTCAGTGTAAATGCTTACCCTGAGCTCTCAATACTCTGATAGTGTGCTGTCCTTTGAGTTGTACGCCTTTGGTGTCAATCTGGTCCAACACCAATGGAGACTAGGCTCTAAGAAAAGCTGTCACGGGTGTGGACCAATCAACTTCAAGAACAGTGCATATCATCAGAGTTGTTTCTTTTGTTTGCATTTTGACTGCTTGTGTTGTGGTTATTTCAAACATGATGCCTTGTATAAAGGTGTCATTTTTTGTACCAGTTGAAAGGGTAAAAACCTATTACAATAATCTTCTTGGTTCTTTCGGTAAAGTTCACGTGACTTTACCGAAAGAACCAAAAAAATTATTGTTTTATTTTTATTATTTTATTACTTCCCTTCTATGTAACTTTACCAAAAGAACCAAGACGATGAATCCCTGTAGCCACGAAAGCTTTAAATCGAAATATTACAATAATGTTCACGTTGTTGAGCTCACGCACCCAAGAGAGGGAGCAATGGAAAGAAATCTAAATAAACTAAAACTCTAACCCCGTTGATTCGCTCTAAGGACGTCACCACTCCTCATCACCTCATCGGTGTGAGACGCAGGGACGAGGTGATCCCCGCTCGTGACGTCATGTCACCCCAACTTCCCTCCACCGCGCTCTCTAGCGTTACGTCACGACTTGTTAGTCACTGCTTATTTCCGTGACGGGTAAAATCCTTATTTGGGCAAAACCACACCCGGTCACTGGCCTATCCTTAACATAATTTATCCAGTTACAAAGCCGTTCGTGGGGGGAGCGTGTTGTGCCCCGCAAGTGACGTCATGTCACCTGCTGCCGCGTGACGTCACGAGATACCAGGAGGGTGCCTCTCCTCGCGCGCATTCACTGAGATCCGAGGTGAGAAGTTCACATCGTGGTTGTTGTTGTTTACCCAGGTAGAGCCTCGCTCCTCTCTCTCTCGTAGGGATATCAATTGAGAAGCAGCGAGTATGGAATCGATGTCCAGGTTGGAAAATTACAACGTGGGGCCTAGCCAAGAGGGGCTTTTCCTCCTGCTCTCGCCTGATTGATTTTGCTTTAATTCTCTGCTTAAGTTTAATTTGTCTTCACCTGTCTCACTACTTTTAAACTTTTTTTTATATTTCTAGAGTTTATTTTTATTTCACCAGGCTAAGCCCACTTGAGGAGCTATACCGCTCTTTTCAGGAGCGACCTGCCCACAACAAAGTGGCTTATCAACGTGTGAAAATGTATATCGGTCAAATACTCTAAACGCGTGGCGATGTTGACTCTTAATGTGCAGGGGAAACCCGGAGGATCCAGAGAAAAAATCTACGTGACCATGGGGAGAGAGACACGCGAACTCCAAATATACATTCATAGTACAGGTTTGTTTGGGTTAGATCGCGTGAATATATAAATGTGTCGTTAAACCCACTCCCACCCGACACAGCCAACTAGTAAGGTTTGTCACGTAAACAGAACGTGCCAATTCGTCACTAGTACAGCACAACCGGTTGTGTATTGGAGAGTCAAGCCACAACATTTACAATCTGATTACGATGTTTCTCCAGTAATTGCAACTAGCTTCATCAGGCGACAGCCGAATGTGTATTTTGTCACGGTTTTTTGGTTGTTATACAATCGCAGGGCTTGTTTGCTTCATGATGAGGACAGCTTTTAGATTCGTTACCCTTTGAGAGCTTCAGGATAGATAATGTGGGATGTTTTGCCATTTGGTGGGTTTAATCGAATGAAGCTTAAATTTTGCCATATATGTCGACAGAAAATTGGTGGAAGAGCTCTTTGCATCTCAAGAAGAGATTGAAGCTGCCGTTTCACACCATGATCCTGAAGGCACAGAAGTCCATTGCGAAAATCGTATTTTGTGTTGACAAGCCTGTTGCTGGGTCAGTTTGGCCAAGTAGGAAATGGTAGCCATCATCACCTTGCCAGAAAATCAGTGGATATTGAAGAGCACCATGGGGTCGCTGTTTTTCATTTCTGTGTAGGGTATTATTCCTCAGTTATAAGACAATGCCTCAAGTGCCATGTTATTCAGCAGTCAGAATGAAAGCGACTTCAGATGTTGATGACATCGTTGCAATGCTGGTTAGCCTGTCTAGTATTGTCAGACATGCAAGTAGATCTGTGGTAATGTAGGTAGGTCATTAGGTAATGGCAGCAGACTGCCAATGCGATTATGTAGCTGGCCCTGCAGTTAAAATTTGGGCATGGAGCCAGATGTTGGATTGAGTTGGTTGGTTGTCAAAACATGTAATTTGGAAGCGTGAGTTCTACTATTGTTGGTTCGGAAATGGCTTGCATAGGCAGTGTTGCCAGGTATCAATACATGAATAGGCTCGGGATGGTCATTAATTTAACTTTATGGTAATTACCGTAATTAAATGCTTTTTGGCGACTGTCCCAACGCGCACATAAATGGCGTGGATCATTCTGTTGTCATGTCGTCCAAGCGCAGCGAGGACGAATGCGCAGAAGAGCTGAACAAGCGAATGCACTCCATGCTCGGGTATGGGCAGGATCATACGTCTTATCCAAAGCTGCTCAAACTGCCTCTACACGACTTTATTTGTCATAACGGTATGCATAATACAGTGAAACTGCTCTCTTCATTATTATTTGTGACCTACCAATGTCTGCAGCCAGGATCAATCGACAATCCTATTACCTGCAGATATTTAACAGATGAGATGTGTTGCACCGTTAATTCCTCCTGTTTGATAATACTTCTCTTGTCCGTATACATCTGTGCAAACGCGTACTATGGTATGTACTGTTTACAAAGTGTGTTCACAAATCCACACCGAGAAACACGATGATTGACAGAGGGGTGTAAATATTTTTTTCAATCATGTATTTAAATAGAGGTACTGCAGTTTTAAAGATATACAGCAAAACCTTGGATTGCAAGTAACTTGATCTGCGAGTGTTTGGCAAGACAAACAACATTTTAAAATAAAATTTCACTTTATAAACGAGCGAGGTCTTGCAATATGAGTAGTTCGTATACACTTTGTCTGCCGAGCGTCACGTGATCACAACTGAGCCGATGGTTCTTCTCTCTTGCTGCGAGATTGTGGGTAATCGTCTCCCATGCTCGGTCTCAGTCGGCGTGCCTCACTCGTATAGTCAACATCTGTGCGAGCGTATACTGTTTACTTTAGTGTTGTGGCCACGTGTGTGCGTAAAGCATTTTTTAAATTTTGTGTCCAAGTGTAGTGACTTCTTTAGTAACTGTACTGCAACAATGGCCCCCATGAAGAAAAAGGTTGAAAAGGAAGGTGGTAAGAAGGAGGCAAAAGCAAGTGTCATTGGATAGGTTCCTTCTTAAAGTCGCACAAAAAGGAAAATATTCCAGTGAGCCAACAGATAGCAGTGATTCCGTTGGTGACAGTGAAAGTCGTCCTACTCAATAACCCTCCTCTCTCTCGTCTCCCTCTCATCAGCCACGATTACATTTAATTAATCAATTTGATTACTTTATATTTAATTTAAATAATACAAATATAAAAATGTATTTTGTATTAATCATTTTAATATGAATATTTTTGGGTTGTGGAACGAATCATCTGAGTTTCCATTATTTCTTATGGGAAAATTCGCTTTGATATATGAGTGCTTTGAATTACAAACACGTTTCCGGAACGAATTATGCTCGCAATCCAAGGTTTTACTGTAGTTTAACAATACAACACTTGCCACCATCCTTCAAACCCATTGGTCAAAAAGAGCAAAGTTTTTGATTACATTTTCATCTCATGTTATGCGAGAGCCCCAGGGCTTATGGGACCCCGGGGTCCCGCCATCAAGTTCAATTGTAGGGAGCTGAACCATGGTACTGTTGCAGCATAGCCCTGGAGGGTCTCTTTATCCATGTCATTGCATGGCATTAGTTGCAAGAAATAGACATGGAGGCAATGGCAACTAATGGATCAGAAGTGTAAATGAAGTGAAGAATGTATGAAAAATAAGACTTTTCCTTTTGGCTACAGAGTTAGCACCTGGTTGCAGCCATTGTGCTGTTTTCAGCTGCCTTGCTTAATGGTGGGCTGGAATTTGATTAGCTGGGGCAGAAGCCATTTGTGCTGTTTTAGTATTCTGTGTAGCTCATTGCTTTTGAGGAGTTGCATTCGATGTAGGTTCAGGCAAAGCAGGACTGGTCACATGCTGTCTTGCTTCTTGCTGTACTGGAGTTTCATAAGCTGTAGGTGCAGCCATCGCAGCACTTGTACGAATGGAATCAATTATTGTAATCGCGTTTGGTGAAGAGAAATGCACGTTTTCCACAAGGCACGTCATAGGTGGAGGTAAAGTTGATAATCAGAAAAAGAGAAAAAAGAGTGTGTGAGTGAATGCTGTGGTGAGATTGTTAATGAAATGATAGTTGGATTTGTAATCGTTGTAGGAATGTGAAGACATAGCCACAAAGGAACGAAGTATAAGGATGTAAGTTGTTGGAGGTAGTAATTGTAGTGATTGGAGTGGGTATGAATAGTATGTGTGTGGTGGTGTGTGTACATATATAATTATGTAAACGCGAGTGTGTGTATGTTCATGCTTTTTATTCCTTACCAGGCGATGTAGACTTGATGTATTTATGTTCTTTGGGTCTTTCGGTAAAGTCATGTAGATAGGTTCAAAGAAAATAATAATAAAAACACTATGACGTTTCGATCGGAACACAAGCGGTCGTCTTCAGGCAAAGGAGTTGACCTCTGAAGGCAAAATGTTGATAAAGGTTTGGGGATGGGCGTGGCCCAAGTGTATCGGCGGCAACCGAGGTCATGGGCGGTGTACCACTTCCAATGCAGCAACAATGACAATGCCATACCACTGCCAATGCAGCAGCAGCTATGTTAATATGAGAGATTAGCATGTAAATGTAAGATCGCAGAGCATCCAGAACGACGTCGGCGCACAAAGTGGCTGTGTTAGTGTGAGAAATTCTGTTAGTCCAGATTTTAGGGACTAAACAGGCATGGCATTGGATAGAGAAGAGATTGAAAAATAGGAGGTGATCAGACCTGCTGATGACTGGTACCAGGAGTGTCAAGATCGGCCTCTGTGGAGGAGGCTGGTGACGTATGCTGCAGGGCAGTTGGAGGTATTTACTCTGCAACAACAATGAGGTCAGAGGAACGATGCTCACGTGGATGGGTAGAATGCTGGGTGCCTAAAACGAGCACAGCTGATGTATCTGTCAATCATCTCAGTCATCCCTTGACACCTGGATTATTCCCATGGCCTGCTGACAAGTGACCCACACTTACATGGCATTAAATTGCACCTATCATGGGATATGCACTGTGACAAGGTTACTTCCAATTATTGATGAATGGTGGCGGTTTTGTTTATACAGTGGTGCCTCAGTATACATCGTTAATTCGTTCCAGAAGATAGGACTTATACCGAAAATGACGTATACCAAACGAATTTTTCCCATAAGAAATTATGTTTTATATGGCATATTATACATTAATGGGATTGTATTAAATAATTTAAACTACTTATTACTAAAATGCATACATAAATTAAAATAAAGGCATAAATACATTAGAATAAATTGAAATAAAATGTAACATCAATTTACCTTGCTGAGAGGAGTTATTTTTTGGAAGCAGAGTCCCCTTCCATTAAAACTTCAGGAAGCTGAAATTCTGGGGTTTTTTTCTCTTTTTTCCGTCTTTTTTCTTGACTTGGACCTGGTTGAGGCTCACCAGGTTTGAGTTTTACTAAAAACCAGTCCATTGAAGTTTGTTTTTGCCTTCTTACAATGTTCCTGAAGTGTGACATTGGTCTTTCCATGCAATACTGTTATGGCTTGTTGACTGAGGAGCGGCGCTATGTTTCAGTCGTGAACGGGATATACGCGGGCACACGGTGACTCATCCCGACCCATAAAAGTTATAGCAAGCGCGTCATATCCTAAACAAGACGTATCCAAAGACATTTTTTTTCTCGTCAAAACACGACGTATACCAAATTCGACGTTTTCCAAAGCGGTCGTTTACCGAGGTATGACTATCTGTTACTGATTCATGTGAAATGTATGTATGTTAGAGTTTTTTTGTGGGGAGCAGTGGCGCAGGTATTTTACTGCATTATGAACTCAGCAAACATGATTGATAAGTGGTAACTGAACTTATTGTGGGCCTCTGCTATGTTGATTGATCTTCCATTAATTTCTTGGTGATGTGAGGAAGCATTAATACTGAGCAGATGAAGGTGGCCAGGCATGGTTCTGGACACACCACCACCTTTTTACCATGCCACTGTATGAGCGTATAAAGTTTGTATTTTCTGTAAAGTATATTAACTCTTTTGAACACAGAGGTTAAATCAAAACAATAGTTTATTTTAGTTTTCCTCTGGAACTTTTTATAAGAGTGGTAACAGTCAGGAAATTAACATGGCACATATGCAGCTGAGGTTAGATCTGTTCATCCGAGCATTCAATTCTAGGGCGTCCAAGCATATTTATGACCATTTGTCCTATCATTGTTCCTTAGCAGCCCGTGTGATGAATTGGGGAATCTCTTTTTCACTATATCATGATTATTTTAATAAGAATAGACGTGTAAGTCGTGTGTGACTGTATATATGCATTCCTCTGTCCCACCATACTGACATGGTGTGGATTTTTTTTTCTGTCTGCAGCTGGCGTTTCCTCTACAGAATTGGTGTGATGGAGCAAATGCACTCAGCGCAGCTCAGTACAAAAAGGCAGCAATGTGACCAGTATGCAAATAGCTCGGATCGTCCTGGAAACTTGACACAGCACCAGAGAACACACACAGGATATAAACCCTTCAATTGCACTGTGTGTGCGAAGGCATTTTCACAGTCATCAGGTCTTCAGAGGCACCAGAGAATACACACTGGAGAGAAACCCTTCAAGTGCACTGTGTGTGAGAAGGCATTTTCACAGTCATCAGTTCTTCAGAGGCACCAGAGAACACACACGGGAGAGAAATCTTTCAGGTGCACGCTGTGCGGGAAGGCGTTTGCATTGTCATCACATCTTCAAATACACCAGAGAACACACACAGGAGAGAAACCCTTCAGGTGCACTGTGTGTGATAAGGCGTTTGCACAGTCATCGGATCTTCCGAGACACCAGAGAACACACACGGGAGAGAGATCTTTCAGGTGCACGCTGTGCGGGAAGGCGTTTAAACAGTCACCACATCTTCAAAAACACCAGAGAACACACACAGGAGAGAAACCCTTCAGGTGCACTGTGTGTGATGTGGCGTTCGCACATTCATCACATATTCAAAGACACCAGAGGACACACAGGCATCAGAAGATCCTCAAGGAGTGGAGTTTGAAATTGGCTTGTGAAAGTCAAAGTGCTGCAATGAGCCCATCCCTCATGAAACAAGAAGCAGAATATAATCCCAGCTTGGACACTTTGAAAGGTATCAAGGTGAAATATGAAGAGGCGAAGGTGAAATGTGAAGAAATTACAGTGAAGAGCGAAGAAATGAAGGTAAAATGTGAAGATGAAGATTCAACTCCAAAATCAGACCTTCACATCGATGGAGGCAACGTGAAGCAGGAGGAGATTTCTGACTCTGAAGCAGAGCGAGGCAACTTCCCAAAGTTTGTGGAAGTGGAGGTGTGGATGGACTTCTTAGACAATACAAAGTCAAATGGAGACCCTGTCGATATGTAAGCTTGAGACAATACGCTTCCAATAGATTCACCTTTGTCAGGCCTTTCATTAATTTTGACTTAAAACTTTCGTAACTGCAGGAATTCATATGCTTTGGTTCTTTCGGTAAAGTCACGTAGATAGAAATTAAATTAAAGCAAAAAACCCACGACGTTTCGATCGCAACACAAGCACCTAAATTCTACCTTTAATGAATGTCAAGTTGAACACTCGGTTCCTAGGTTTAACCTACAGAGTAAGAGCAGCCAGTATTTGTGGACCTGTGAGTTGGCTAGATCTCTAACCAGGAGTGAGAGCCAATAAACTTCCAAGCATTCACTATCTTATATATACATGTCATTTTCTGTCTGTGTGTGTGTGCACAATTGTGAGAGATTTGGCTCTCAAATCGTATGGTTTATGTAAAAAAAATAGCCAGGTACCACTCCGTAAGCCCCGTGGTGAGTAAACGATATTTCCTTTTCCCCGTCCATCAACTTTAAAGTCGTTAAATTAGCTATTTAGTGTAGTTTCCATTTATTTATTAAATAGCGCGTGATCGGCCATACCAACTCACACGCATTTGGTGGGGGGGGGGGGAAGGCCCCTACCAAGTCACGCATTCGGTGGGGGTAAGGGGGACATTTTCTTTAGTGTTAAACATGCTAAATTCCCCCCATTCCCCACCCCGATTCGTGCAGTTACTACTATAGAGTCACATAGATACTAATATAGCATTATTGTAGCGCGGGCAGAGGGATGGTGGGGGGGGATAGCGGCCCAGCCTGCGAAGATGCCACCTCTGTCAGGTTAGTAGTTTGGTCACACCACAGTCAGTATGCTCTGCTGTAGTGAAAGCAGGTACCACCACAGTATGCACTCCTGTAATCATAGCAAGCACCACCACAGTTGGTATGCACTGCTGTTATAGTAGGTACCATCACAGTATGCACTGCTGTGGTGAAAGGTACCCACCACAGTGGGTATGCACTGCTGTAATCATAGAAGGTACCACCACAGTATGCACTGCTGCAGTGAAAGCAGGTCCCACCACAGTATGCACTGCTGTAATCATAGCTGGGACCACCACAGTCGGTATGCACTGCTATAATCATAGCAGGTACCACCACAAATAAGATGGTTCAAATAAGTGTAGTTACATCTTTTTTGCATGGTTAATTACATCTTTCCAATGATTACTCAGTTTGTAACCCTCATCACGGTTGAAATTATGTCTGTGTTTGTATATTTGTATGGCTTCGTGTACAAACCTTTGATGGTAGCCAGGAGGTTTGCAGAGCACCTTGGTCTCGGAAAAGACAATTTCATGAGAGCCCACAGAGTTGTAGCAATGATCAGCAACAGCCGAAGAATCAGTTCTGCCGTGTTTCAGATCTGACTTGTGCTCGCGGACACGATCAGAAACATGACGTTTCGTTTCTCCAATGTAGCAATCACCACAACTGCAACTCAATTTGTAGACTCCAGGATACTGTAAGTCAGGAACGACATCCTTCACAGATGGAATCAGATCACGGATTTTATGCACTGTACTGAATCAGACTTGGATCTTATGTTTGTTTAGGCTCAGTCCTTTATTATGCAGTCTACTCTTGGTCTTAAGCCTCACCTTACCATATTTTGCGAGTTCAGATGCTGGTGTTACTGATAGGTTTCTTAGCATTTTTAAGGATGGTGGCAATTTCAAATCTAGCAACGTCTGTCACGATGTGTCGCAAGCCTTTCAGGGCTACGTCGACTGGGGGATTATATCCACTGGGATATGTTTAGGGGTGACTGCGAAATTCAACCTCTTAGCTCGTACCGATTTTAGGCTGTCTGAAATTTGGATATTACTCTGATTGATGACAATCTTGTTGACATCTAACTTTTGAACGTGTGGCTCTGGCTTCTTTTTTGACAGGAGGTTGAATTTAGCGATCAAGTTAACTTTGGTTGACATTGAATTAGCAGAGGAGACTGTCATGTTATCTACATGGTCCCAATCAGAAGTGGACATTTTTTCTGTTAATTGTAAGTGTGATTGTAAGACAGTCTTGTCTAAATGATCAAGTTCAAATCGGAGCAATCTTTTTCTCTCTGAGATTAGCGATAGGCTGGCTTTAAACAAGATCCGTTTAGCGTTAGAAATCACAGCAGCAGATGTGAGTGTATCGCGGCATCTCTTGACTTTACTGAAAGAACTAAAGAGTATAGATTCCTGCAGTCACAAAAGCTTCAAGTCAAGATTCACCTTCAAATAGTTCAAAACCACTGCTCTGATACTTTATTTTCTTCTGCTTTCACTCACTGGGGTTGTACTCAATTTGAATTCTATACAATATCTGGAAAATCACAGAAAAATGTAGAAATTTTATCATAATTTAGAAGAAAAAATGTGACTTACCTTGTTTCAAGAGCTGAAGAAATAAAAAACACCAAAAACACTTTGTTGCTGCGTAGAAAGATTTAATTAACTTTTTCAATAAAGAAACGTCAAATTTAAAGTGAATTTGCGTAAAAATATTTTTATTTCCGCTCGACCATCTTCTGCGGGAGTGTAAAAATCCACCCGCTCATGATTATTGACCGGGGGGTGGGGGGCTTCTTTTACAGTGACGTTACGTACAGATGTAAAGATGTAGCAGTGTGCTGCGTATATTTATTTATTTTACTTTGCGTAATTTTTTTTTATTCAGCTCGACCCTTCCTCTGCGTTAGTGTATCATGAATATTAATGAGGAGGGGTGGGCCTTATGCAGATTGACGGCACGCGGGGGAGGGGGGGTGACGTCAAGCGTGGGACACACACAATCTTGGATTATAGTAGTGTAATAAAAGACTCCGTCAGGCGATGCTGGTCTCCGTTTGTCTTTTATTTAGGTTCTTCTCCGCACCCCCCACTGGCCTCCTCCCGGACCAGTGTCGTCTCGCGCGCGCCCCGCGCACGCTCTCTCTCTCGCGTGCCACCCACGCTCTCTCACGCGTGCCCCACACGCTCCTCCGTTAGCTCCTCTATTCCCGCACTCTGCAGACCGCTGGCCGACGGCGTGCAGAGGTCCTTCTGCCACGTGGCCGATGGTGCGAATCTTTCCTCACCACCCAACGAGGCTCAGCCTCTTAACTTCCCCGACTGCCCCGATATCTTCCGGGCTCCCACTTATATACATTCCCCCCCACGTGACCCTGACTCCTCACCTTCCGGATCCTCAGATCCGGCCTTCCCATACTACCCCGCTGGCTCCGCCCCCATTCACCTCGCCTCCCATTGGAGCCGAGGTGAACGGTGGCCCCTCCCACACGTCCCGCAAACCAGGCTCCGCCCCCCAATACCCCAGGCCGTGTGATTGGACCAGAGCCCAGCAACAACCCCATTTACGCTCGCATTACAGTAGTACTATTATCAGGCCTGGATTTTTGCCACAAAATTAATCCACTTCCGGCTCCTTACTGTCCTCTCTGCACACGCATGGCTCACCTCTAAGATATTGCAATATTTATAAAAACCGTGGACTATTCGAAAATATCTACATCTAAGTACCAGCACTACCGACCTCCTTCTACACAACAGACGCTATACAACAGCTACGACTAAATACATCAAGTCTACATCGCCTGGTAAGGAATAAAAAGCATGAACATACACACACTCGCCTTTACATAATTAGAGATGTAAACACACCACCACACATTATTCATACCCACTTCAATTACTACAAACAATAACTCCCTCCAACAACTTACATCCTTATACTTCTTTCCTTTGTGGCTATGTCTTCACATCCCTACAACGATTAGTTTATTTATGAATAAATTATGTTAATGAGTGACTGGGCGTATCTTTGATTAGGATTTTAACCCAAATAAACTCCTTTAAAAAGTAAAAAAACCAACGGTTTTATTAACAACTTTGTTTAACTCCCTGTCGAGAACCGCGTCAATGGCGCCTGCTCCCACATCAATGCTTGCTTGAATTAATTTATTACTTTATAAATTAATCTTCAATGTACAACTTTTGTTTGTGTGGAGTGAGGGTGCCCGTAACTCGTTCACAGAGCAGGCGCGCCTGAGACACGTGGCGCCTGCTTCTTGGGTGAGGCGATTTGAGAGTTTAGGGACCGTTTTTTACCTACACAAATATATATAACTAATAAGGTATCCATAAAAAATGTGAATTGCTTCATAAGAGCCAATTAATTGATTAAGTGATACTCTTTGGTTTTTTCAGTAAAGTCCTGTCGGTTAAAATAAGACGAAAACAAATCAATTAAATCACGTTTCGGAGGCAACACAAGCACCCGTCTTCAGGTGGAACAGTCACAGCAAAATTACTGTGAACTCTAAGATACACGACCTTATATACTGGTTAAGGGGAGGGGGGCCGTGGGGGGGGGTATAAGCTGGTGAGGTAAACGACCTGTGAAGCACTATGGGAACCTCATTTGTTTGTATTATGACTGCAGGTATTGCGGTCTATGCAAACATGACTCCTTGTAAAAAGGTGTCAGTTTTGTTGCTAGATAGAAGGGTAAAGAACCAATTATCATATTTTTACTGGCAAATGAGGTTCCCATAGTGTAGATGCTTGCCCCGAGCTCTCATACTCTGATGGTGCATTGTCCTTGAGTTGTGCGCCTTTTGGCGTCATCTGGTCCAACCCATATGAGACTAGGCTCAAAGGAAAGCTATCTCGGGTGTGGACCAATCAACTTCAAGGACAGTGCACATTATCAGAGTTATGTTATTTTGTTTGTATTATGACTGCAGGTATTGCGGTCTATGCAAACATGACTCCTTGTAAAAAGGTGTCAGTTTTGTTGCCAGATAGAAGGGTAAAGAACCAATTATCAGACCTGTGAAGCAGTTACGGCTACGCCTGGAGCTTTGTGATGTAGATGGCGGAAGTAGATAAGCAAGCTAGGATTAAGTCGCCTTTTATTATGCACGCCGGTGGGTTACAGGCAAGCAGTGTGTGAAACGCTAAACAACTACTATGGCTGTACAATTATAAGGCAGCTAGAGTTTAGCTTGGTTGATGACATCTTTCCAATGATTGCTTAATTTAAAACCATCCTCTCGGTTGAAGTTGTATCTATGTTTGTATAGAACAAATATTTGGTAGTATCTGGGAGGTTTTGAGAGAACTTTGGTATCGGAGAACATTGTATCATGAGAACCCGCTGTGTTGAAACAATGATTAGCTACGGCCGAAGAATTCGTTCTGCCGTATTTCAAATCTGATTTGTGCTCGCGAATTCGGTCATAAATGTTGTTTCATCTCCCCGATATAGCAGTCACCACATGTACAACTCAATTTGTAAACACCGGGGTATTGTACGTCAGGAATGACATCCTTTATGGATGGGATCAGATCACGGATTTTGTGTACTGTATTAAATCGGACCTGGATCTTATGTTTGTTTAGAATTTTAGAAATCTTTTTGGTAACGCCTATGTATGGCAACGTCATGATTTTGATCGGAGTTTCAGGTGGTTGTTTCTGCATGGTGGGAGAAACAGCTTGGCCAGGTGGTGTTGGTCTGAGATGTAATGAGCCCTATGGTGTAGTGTTTTGATGAGGAAGTTCTTTTGAGATGGGTGGTGGTGGGAATCAGGCTTCAAGTAGGAATCTGTGTGGGTGGCCTTCCTGTAAACAGAGTGTCCCAAAGAGCCATCGGGCCTCCTCTCAAACAGAACATCCAAGAATGGTAGCTTGCCATATTTCTCCACTTCCATTGTAAATTTGATGGATGGGTGTCTAGAGTTGATGTGGTCTCGGAATTGGTTCAATGCTGGGAGGCCATGTGGCCAAATGACGAAAGTATCATCCACATATCTCTTCCACAGGGAAGGACAAAGGGTGGATGTCTGGATGGCATCTGATTCGAATTTCCCCATGAAACATTGGCCATCACTGGTGACAAGGGGGAACCCATAGGGGTACCCTAATTTTGTTTGTACAAAGTACCATTCTAGGTAAAGTAAGTGTTGGTGAGGCAATGCCTAACCAGCGCAGGTACATCCCAGTTCAGTCAATGTTGGACCAAGTCTTCAATTATTGTTATTGTGTCAGGCACTAGAACCTTGGTGAAAAGAGAGACCACATCAAAACTGGCGATGACCATATCAGGAGACAGTACAATGTCCTTGACCATAGAAACCAATTGGGTTGAGTTAAGTACTGCTGAGGTCGTCTTGCCAGTGAAGGGAAGCAGAGTACCTGATTTTGATACAGGCATGCATCGGATCTGAGTACGTGTGCAAAATTTGGAATTCATTGAAAAGGAAGTAGACTAAATTTAGATTGCAAGATTTGACCACGACACAGAAATCAAGTTAAGTAAAACTGTTCAAAAACCTCTTTCATGAAGGATTTTACGGGAACGGAAATCGGCAAATGACGAACCAGACGTGACGTTACGCTTCAAGAGTGCGGTGGAGGGGGGTGGGTTGAAAACCTTGGTGACATGACATCACTAACGGGGTACACCACCCCCAGGCGTCTCACGCCGATAAGGTAATGCGGAGTAGTCAGAGTTTGTTTATTTAGATTCCTTTTCCATTGCTCCCACTATTGAAGAGAGGCCCCTTGGTTGCATGAGCTCAACAACGTGAACATTATTGTGTATACACTGTTTGTATACACTGTATGTTTGTATACACTGTGTGCCTGTGTACAAACTATCTCAGTCAACCCATGGCACCTGGGTTTTGCCCCGTGACCTCCTGCCGGCGGGCGTTCGACACTTCACGTGGCCTTAACGTGCACATAGCCTGGCACAAGTGCCGTGGTGACGTCACCGCCACTTAGTGGCGAATGGCGGTTGTTGTACTTGTTAATGTGTTTGTTTATACACTCTGTATGTGCAGACTGTGTGTGTACGCTGTGTGGGTGGTCCTAATCAGTCGGGCGGCATCATCTTATCATCAGCTGCGCAATGCTGAGTGGAAGCTACCTGGTCTGTCGCTCCGCACAAAGCTTCGGGTCTTCTCGGCCAGTCATGCCCTTCCTTCTACAGACATGTGAAACGTAGATCCCTCTAAATGGAACATCTGCGCCGGTTAGAAACATTCAGGTTGGCATGCCTACACTCAGATTAAGGAAAGCCAAGTGATAGCGCATTCTCTATTTATTTCAGAGATTTCAAGGTTAAAATCCGACAGGCACACCTGGCTACTCCAGTGGCTGTAAAACATACTATTGTTTCATTTAAAATGCTTAAGTCATTGCAAATATTATTCAGAAATTACATGACGGAGATTACACACCAATTATCGCCCCCTACTCACAAACTCATTCCCACATGCAAGGCTGGTGCAGGGCCACCTGTTGCCACACGGGGGCAGCTACCACGGGGTGCTCTTCGAGTATTTGTGATGAGATATGATACAAAACTCCGAGTCGCTGAGGCAATTAAGTAAGCACCATATAAATGCATTTATCACATAGTGAATGCTTGGGAGCTCATTGGCTCTCACTCCTGGTTAGAGATCTACACAACCCACAGGTCCATAAATACTGGCCGCTCTTACTCTGCAGGCTGAACCTCGGAATTGAGTGTTCAACTTCACATTCTTGCATTAAAGGCACGTGACAAAAGGTGAATCTATTGGGGCTTCATTGTCTCAAGCTTACACATCTATCGGGTCTCCATTTAACGTTGTATTGTCTAAGAAGTCCACCCACACCTCCACTTCCACAAACTGCTGGGAGTTGCTTCGCTCTGCATCAGAGTAAGAATTCTTCTCCTGTTTCACGTTGCCCTCATCGATGTGAAGGTCTGATTTCGGAGTTGAATCTTCATCTTCACATTTTACCTTCACTTCTTCGCTCTTCACCGTCACTTCTTCACATTTCACCTTCGCATCTTCATATTTCACCTTGATACCTTTTAAAGTGTCCAAGCTGTGATTTTCTTCTGGTTCTTGTTTTATGAGGGATGTGCTCATTGCAGGACTTTGACTTTCACAAGTCGATGTCAGACTCCACTCCTTGGAGATCTTCTGATGCCTGTGTGTCATCTGGTGCCTTTTAAGATGTGTTGACTGTGCAAACGCCTTCCCGCACAGAGTGCACCGAAAGGGTTTCTCTCCCGTGTGTGTTCTCTGGTGGATCTGAAGAACTGATGACCATGCAAATGCCTTCTCACAAACAGTGCACTTGAAAGATTTCTCTCCTGTGTGTGTTCTCTGGTGTATTTTAAGATGTGATGACGTTGTAAACGCCTTTCCGCACAGGGTGCACCTGAAGGGTTTCTCTCCTGTGTGTGTTCTCTGGTGTCTTTTAAGATGTGATGAATCTGAAAATGCCTTCCCACACACACTGCACTTGAAGGGTTTCTCTCCCGTGTGTGTTCTCTGGTGTATTTTAAGATGTGATGACTCTGCAAATGCCTTCCTGCACAGAGTGCACCTGAAGGGTTTCTCTCCTGTGTGTGTTCTCTGGTGGCTCTGAAGAATTGATGACCGTGCAAATGTCTTCTCACACACAGTGCACTTGAATGGTTTCTCTCCTGTATGAGTTATCTGGTGATGTGTCAAATTTCCAGTACGATCCGTGCTGTTTGCATACTGGTCGCATTGTTGACTTTGTGGACCGAGCTGAGCTGAGTGCCTTTGCTGCATCAGACCAATTCTGCACAGCAAAGTGGTAGAGGAAGAGTCGTCAGCTGCAGACAGAAAAAAGAAATATCAACACCATCTACGTCTGTATAAAGTCACAGATGAATGCATATATACACAGTCACACATGACTTTCACGTCTATACTTATTCATATATTCATGATATAGTTAAAGAGATCCCCCAAATCATAACATGGGCTCTTAAGGCACACAAGTGGTCAGAAATATGCCTAGAAGCCCTAGTATCTTCAAAATTAATGTTTACCCAAAACTCAAAGCACACAATTTAGGCTATCTGGCTATGAAAGAAATATATATTTAAGCAAATTTCAGCTTACATAGCAAAGGGTGTTGAAAATACTACTTGTATTTTGCATTCATATATAAATTAATTTTCAATCGCAACTTAGGTGAAGCCAGGCTCAGATTTGCTTGAATGCTCGGATGAACAGACTTAACTTCAGCTGCATATGTGCTGTATTAATTTTATGACTGTTACCATGCTCATAAAAGTTCCAGAGGAAAACTAAAATAATCTATTGTTTTTATTTGACCTGTGTTCAAAAGAGTTAATATACTTTACAGCAAATACAAACTTGACACTGTCACACACTGGCATGGTAAAACGGTGGTGTGTCCAGAAACATGCTTGGCTGCCTTCATCTGCTCAGTATTAATGCTATCTCACAACACCAAGTAATTAATTTATGACCAATCAATATAGCGGAGTGCTACAATAAGTTAAGTTTTCACTTATCAATCATGTTCGCTGTCAGCGATAATACAATTATAATTGTTGAGTTCATAATGCAGTGAAATAACTGCACGTAGATAAACTCTTACACACACATTGCACATGAAGTAAACTTGACACAGTGCTCATGCAATGATAGGTGTAATTTAATCCCATGTAAGTGTGGATCACTTGTCAGCAGGTCATGGGAATGATCCAGGTGTCAAGGGATGACTGAGATGATTGACAGATGCACCAGCTGGACTCCCCGCTGTCTTGCTGCGTTTTCGGCACCCAGCGTTCCACCCATTCATGTGAGCATCGCTCCTCTGACCTCATTGTTGTTGCAGAGTAAATACCTCCAACTGCCCTGCAGCATAAGTCACATGCCTCCTCCACAAAGGAACATCTTGACACTACTGGTACCAGTCATCAGCAGGTCTGATCACCTCCACATCCTCCAATCTATTATCTAGCCAATGCCATGGCTGTTAGCCCCTAAGGTTCTAATACAATATTGTCTGGTTCAATAGAGGGATCATAGGCAGGCCAGTCTTCATTGTATAAGCCAGCACAGACGGTCCTTAAAATAAGTTAATATTTTGCATCCACAGAGAAAGGAGTCATATCTGTGGCCAAGAAGACTCGCAGCTTTGTTCGTTTCTAAATCTGCCTTGTCCTGGTGATGGTTGTGGCGGCAGCACATTGAGTAGGGCAGCCCAGACCTCCCTTTCCCTGGCAACAGGCTCTTGCTCTTACTGGGGAATTCCCAGGCATTTCCAGGCCAGCTGAACTACATAGTCCTACCAGCGTGTCCTGGGTCGGCTCCGGGGTCTTTCCCCAGTGGGACATGCCTGGTAGAGTACGAGAGGGAGTCTATTGGGGGCATCCTTACAGATATTCTATATTGATATCACCCATGAAACGAGGCCTGGGGGAGGTGTTCGCCAACAAGCGCCTGGCAGCTTGGTGGCCCACGTAACACATTCGGGCCCAGTCTGGAACGGCTATGTGGCGCCATCCTGTGCGCCGACCATCCGCAGGATGAAGGGTGAGGGGCACGTGCAATGCCAGTATGGCTGGGAGAGGGATGGTCTCAGATGGACTAAACCTTGGCAATGCACACTCACAGTTTTGTATGGAGCAAAAGTCCAGGCAGCTTCCAGACTGTTACAGTCTAATGAAAGAATGCTGCTCGACTAATTTGAAGTGAGACTTTGGCTGTCAAACCAGAGCTGGTCGTGAAAATTCCCAGGCAGGTGATTTTTGTGGAACATATGCAAGGCCCCATTTTATGATGGAATTATCCAGGCGCAGAACAAGATTCCCTCACCCCAACTGATTGAGTAGCCAATACCAGATCATCAGCAGATGTAACATTGTTGACCAGCAGAGAACAATCCCTCAACTATAGCCAGGCATCGATTAGCATATCATTGTAACCGAAATGAATGCAATTTATTCATATTGCCATTGTGAGCTTCTCAAACTACATCATTATTTAAGATGCTATGTAATGTAATGCATGGGGCCAGAGTGAATTTCTGTCACAAGCAAATTTGAACAGGAAATGGCTCCGACTCCTGGTCACACAGCTTTACATGGGCCTACCCAAAATCCTAAAAATACTCAACGCATGTGAGCAGAGCAGCAGTAACATTTAAAACAAACAACCCAAAGCCCCAAGTCTCTTTATGGTACTATAGGCCTTAATTTCATCAAGAAAGCGGAGATCTAGTTCCTGATAAAAATCGGTACTCCTCTGCTGTCGTAGGACGCAAAATACAGCAGCCCCTTGAATATCACAGAGGTTAAGTTCTTGGAAAGTGCCGTGCGAAAGGTAAAAGTGCAATATTCAATACTTAGGGCTTACCTACGTAAGGGTGTTAGGTAAACGGAAACTAAAATTTACAACATCACAATTGAAATAAGCACTGTACTGTATTCCAAATAGCCTAAAAACTAAACAATTGAAATAAATCTTCTTGGTTCTTTTGGTAAAGTCACGTAGAAGAGAAATAATAAAATAATAAAACATAATAAAATAAAATTCTCACGACGTTTCGGCCATAACACAAGCAGCCGTCCTCAGGTGAAGACAGAGCTGTCTGAAAGACAGCGCTCCAATGAACACTGCTAAGCTTGGCAGCGTATTTTAAGCTGGGTGGGAGGAGAAGAGTGCCTTGACAAAGGAGTTTACATATCAACATACGAATTTAGCATTGAACAAGCTGTGTTAATGTGAAAGAATGAGCAGGATGTTAATGTGAGGAATTAGCATGTAACTGGTCACGGAAGTTGCTATGTTAAAGTCAGAGTTTAGATATCAACAGAGGCATTTAGTATATTGATGCTAAAGAACTGCAACCCCCACTATCATACAATAAACCGATGTGAAAGAACTAAATATAAACTACATCAATATAATCAATGTACTCAATATATTCTCCAATAAGCTGAGCTATTAACATTAAGTAACTGGGTATACAATACACTATATAATGACTATCATATAGTGAACCGATAAAAAACTAAAATATAAACTACATCAATATCATCAGTATTCTCAATATAATCTCCAATAAGCTGAGCTACTAACAATAAGCCATTATACATTACACTTAAATGTCGCAAAAATTATTATAATATGCCTCCATCTAATCTTTTTTTTTTCTTACATCACACGACTATACCCTGTAATATAAACTGCCATAGACAGACCCCAACAATGAATTATACACTGCGTTACTATAGACTATAATAATATTAGACATGTAATATTACACTATGTATTATTCTACCAACCCTACTGTATACCACACTGCTGTATATTCACTATGCAATTATGATACTATATATTACCTCATGAATTATATTAAATATTACACTGTTATACTATTTATTATTATACAATCTGCTATAAACCATACTATTGACAGTTGCGTGAAAGGTACTAAGAGGCAATGCCAGCGAATGGACTGCAGTCTGAAAGTCACCATAAAACAAAATCAATCAAGACCCGAAATGGTTTATCACACCCTTCCAATGATTGCTGAGCCAGAATCCATCTTCTCGGTTGAAATTGTCTCTGTTTGTATATGTGGATTGCCTCGTGAACGAATCTCTCATGGTAGCTGGATGGCTTGCAGAGAACCTCCGTCTTGGAGAAGTCAATGTCACGTGAACCCAATGAATTATAACAGTGATCTGCCACGGCTGAGGTGTTCATCCTACCGTGTTTCAGGTCTGCTTTATGTTCACGGATTCGGTCCAAGACATGTCGTTTGGTTTCTCCAATGTAACTGCTACCACAGAGGCAACTTAGTTTGTAGACGCCAGGGTACTGTATGTCTGGAACCACATATTTTACAGACGGGACCAGATCACGGATTTTATGTACTGTGTTGAATCGGACCTGGATCTTGTGTTTATTCAGGATTTTGGAGATCTTATTTGTGACCCCCGCAATGTAGGGTAAGGTGATGGTTTTAAATGGCTCCTCAAAAGGATCCTTCTTCATGGTTGGAGTGATGGCTTTGCGGATTGTGTAGTTGGAGTAACCATTAGCCTTGAGAGCTTGGTGTACGTGCTTGAGTTCACTGGCAATGTGTTCCTGGTCGGAGATGCATTGGGCTCTATGGTGTAGAGTCTTGATGAGGGAATTCTTCTGGGATGGATGGTGGTGGGAATCTGGTTTTAAGTAAGCATCCGTATGGGTAGCTTTCCTGTAGACAAAATGGCTCATTGAACCATCAGGTCTCCTTTTAGTTAGGACATCCAAAAAGGGTAGCTTGCCATCCTTTTCGACTTCCATGGCGAATCTGATGGCTGGGTGTATGGAATTGATATGGTCGAGGAATTGGTCTAGAGCCGGCCGGCCATATGGCCAGATAAGGTCGGGCGTAGAGTGGCAGTCTGGATGGCGTCAGTCTCAAATTTCTCCATGAAAACGTTGGCTACAACTGGAGATAGGGGGAAGCCCATTGGGGTGCCCTCAGTTTGTTTGTAGAAAGTTCCATTCCAGGTGAAGTATGTGTTGGTTAAGCAGTGTCTCACCAGGGGGGGTACATCAGTATGAAGTCCTTGATCAATGATTGCGATGGTGTCAGGTACGGGAACCTTGGTGAACAAGGAAACCACATCAAAACTGACAGGTCGTCTGGGGACAGGGAAATACCCTTGATTGTCGATACCAGGTCTTCACCTGAGGACGGCTGCTTGTGTTGTGGCCGAAACGTCGTGAGAATTTTATTTAATTATGTTTTATTTTTATTATTTTATTATTTCCCTTCTACGTGACTTTACCGAAAGAACCAAGAAGATGAATCCCTGAAGTCACGAAAGCTTGAAATAATCAAAAATGAATAATAAACATTGAGAAACCGTAAACATAAAAATGTACAAGACAAAAATAGTAAAAATCTATATAAATAAAGCAGGCTTTGCGCATGTGCACTTTTTTGTGAACCAAATTGCGCCAACACCATGAAACCAACACACCTCAAATTTTCCATGTGCTCTCACGGGTGTGATAGTATTTTTTGCTCTATTTTTAGCTTAACTGCTCACCTTCAACACCTGCACACTCCAAACCCCCCTGCTCCTCACCTACCCCCCTCTCTTTCTCTCGTCATGTGTTAAAGCCCGGGGGGATTGTCACTACTTCCGGTTTCCCACACACGCAAACACATTATGACATTTCATATAGGGGCCATCCATTTAAGTACATACGCAAATATCTGTCAAAACTTGACCTCTCCCCCCCTCCCTGTACGCACGCATACTTTTTACACACCCCCTCCACCTGCGTACGTATGCTTGCTGCGATGGCTGCACCTACATATTATGAAATTGCAGTCCAGCAAAAAGCAAGACAGCATGCCAACAGTGCTGTTTTGCCTGCACCTACATCGAAAGCAACTCCTCAACAGCAATGAACTACACAGAATACTGACACAGCACAAATGGATGCTGCCATAGCTAATCAAACTCCTGTCCACCAACAAGCAAGGCAGCTTGCAAACAGCACTACAATGCCTGCAATCAGGTGTCTAACCTACAGCCAAAAGGAAAAGTATTTTTTCCATACATTCCTCACTTCATTTACATTTCTTATCCATTAGTTGTCATTGGTTCCATGTCTACTTCTTGCAGCTACTGCCATGCAATAACATGGAAAAGAGACTCTCCAGGGTTATGCTGCAACAAGTACCATGGTTCAGCTCCCTACAATTAATGATCATCCCGAGCCTATTCATGTATTGATACCTGTCAACACTACCTATGCAAGCCAATTCCAAAACAACAATAGAAGAACTCATGCTTCCAAAATTACATGTTTTGGCAACAACCAACTCATCCCGACATCTGTCTACATGCCCACATAATCGCATTCGCAGTCTGCTGCCACTACCTAATTTGCATGACTGACAATAGGTGACAGGCTCAACAGCATTGCAAAAATGTCATCAACACCAAGATGCAAATCCTGCAAGGTGATGATGGCTACCATTTCCTAGTCCGCCAAAACTGACCCAGCAACAGGCTTACCAACACAAAAGATTTCCGCCATGGACGTTTTTTCCTTCAGGATCATAGTGCGAAACGGCAGCTTCAATCTCTTACTGAGATGCAAAGAGCTCTTCCGCAATTTGCTGTCGATGTGTATGCCAAAATTGAAACTTCATTCAATTAAACCCACTTGATGGCAAAACATCCAACATTGTCTATCCTGAAGCTCTCCAAGGGTAACAACTTTAAAAGCTGCCCTCATTATGAAACAAGCCCTGCGATTGTATAACACAACCAAAAAACGTGACAATATACACACATTTACAGGCTTCATTGGCAGAATTCAATAATTCTAATGAAGCCAACATGGAAGGACATTACTCTTAGTGTTTGATTACTGAGACCTGTGCGAAGCCGGGTAACTTAGCTAGTACTGAATATATACCATACTTCAGATGATGTCTGTGCATGAGTGGGGAGCGGTGGTGCAACGGTTAGCATGCTGCACTATAAACCCAGCGACCCGATTTATATTCCCACAAAGCCAAGGCACAACATTTGGCTGTCGCCTGATGACGCTGGTTGTAATGACTAGTGAAACATCGTACTCAAGATTATAAATGTTGTGGCTTGGTTTTCCAACACACAACCGGCGTGCTGTACAAGTGACAAATTGGCCACATTCTGTTTACGTGACAACCCTTACTAGTTGGCTGGGTCGGGTGGTGGCGGGTTTAAAGACACATTTATATATTTACGCGATCTAACCCAAACAAACCTGTATTACGGATGTAATTTGGAGTTTGCGTGTCTCTCTTTCCCCGTGGTTGCGTGGATTTTCCTCCGGATCCTCCGGTTTTTCCCTGCACATTTAGAGTCAACATCGCCACGCGTTTAGAGTATTTGACCGATACACATTTCCACACGTTGATAAGCTCAAGTGGGCTTGGCAAAATAGGAAACTGTAGTGAGCCAGGTGAAGACAAATTAAACTTAAGCAGAGAATTAAAGCAAATGCAATCAGGCGAGGGCAGGAGGCCATCGATTCCATACTCGCTGCTACTCAATTGATATCCCTACAAGGGGGAGAAGGAGCGAGGCTCTACCTGGGTAAACAACAACAACCACCACAACAACAACCACAGCAACGATGTGAACTTCTCACCTCGGATCTCAGTGAGTGCGCGCGAGTCCAGGCAGCTTCCTGGTATCTCGTGACGTCACGCGGCAGCAGGAGGTGACATGACGTCACTTGCGGGGTAAAACACCCCAATGAACGGCTGTGTAAGTGAATAAATTATGTTAATGAGTCGAGCCCATGTTGAGTGATGGGGCGTGGCTGCTGAACCCGTCGCAATGAACTCGCGACGGTTTTTATGAATATATTATGTTAAGTGACTGGGCGTTGCTTTGCCCACAAGGATTTTAACCCAAAAAACCTTTATTGTGGAGGATTTTATGGGAACGGAAATCGGCAAATGACGAACCAGACGTGACGTTACACTTGAAGAATGCGGTGGAGGGGGGTGGGTTGAAAACCTTGGTGACTAGACGTCACTAGCGGGGTACACCTCCCCCTGGCGTCTCACGCCTACGAGGTAATGCGGAGTGGTGAGAGTTTGTTTATTTAGATTTCTTTTCCATTGCTCCCACTCTTGAAGAGAAACTCTTATGGGCGCATGAGCTCAACAACGCGAACATTATCTCCATATATATAAAAGGCAAAGTTGTGAATGTGTGTCTGTTCAAAATGTTTAGCGTACTTCCCGACATGCAACAAACTTGAAATTTCCCATGTGGGTACTTTCCAGACTGTACACCATGCAAAAATTATCAAAATACACTTTTGTGGTTTTTTTGGTGGGGGGGGAGCTCAATAATGCATATATGTTGTGCACGGCAAGTGAGCTGTGACGTCAAATCTGTCATGGTGACCCGCGCAGGGAAAGGTAATGTAAAGGTAATGCATTTTAGTGTAGTGGTTAGCGCGCTGCGCTACGAACTTGGCGATCCGAGTTTGATTCCCGCTCACGGCCACCACCGGTGACGATTATTTTAACCGCTCCTGGGCCTCCCCTAGGTCGACTCAGCCTCAAACGAGTAACTGGTGTGGTGTGTGAACATCGCCACTGGGGAGAAAAAGGCGGCCGGGCGTGGTGAATCCAAGTCCCGGGCAAAGCCGGGTAGTAAAGCTAGTTGTGTATACACGAGTGACGTGCGGTGAGGTCAATGGCTGGGGAGGCAATGGCTCGTGTCAGAGCCAGATTCACACACTGAGGGGGGCGTGGCCTCACGCTGGGGGGCGTGGCCTCACTGAGGGGGCGTGTCCTCACTGAGGGCACATCGGCCACCAGCCAAGGGTGCAATGTACGGACATGGGAGAGGACAGTGACGGGGGGGAGGGTGATGTAAGGGATGTCAGGGGAAGGATTCCCACCAAAAGGAGGGGGAGTGGGACGGTGACAGGGGAAGGGGGAGGAGCAAGCGAGGAGATATAAGAGAGAGAACAGGCGGGAAGAGGGGGAACTTGGCGGGAACAAGATTGAGAAGGCTGGGGATGAAGGAATAAAAGACGAACCCCCTGCAACCTTGTGTTGGCTCTCCTTTACACTACTCAGCCAGGACAGTTGGTAGGCTGTCTTACTAGAGCACCCCGAGATGGTAGACGGAGACGAAGACGAGAAATTTGGCGATGATGGACTTCAGCAGCACGACGGGAATCTCACTCCAACAACAGCCCAAGATTCCTCTAAGAGGCCCCTCTTACTCTCTGCGTGGCCTCGCTCCGCCCCGGCCACTCCTCCTTACTGGAACCTACCAGCCGATTCCTGGTGTGCTCCCTTCTGTGACCTTTCCTCTAGATCCCCCTCTCGTGGAAATCCTGGCCTGCTCACGTCAGGACAGCCTATGCCGCAGATCCCCTTTTCTGCCAGCAGCCAGTGCTATGCCACTACATATTTATACAATGTATTTGCACTGTTTACGCTGTATGTACATTGTGCGTGTATACCTTGTGGGTACACTGTGTACATTGTGTGTACATAATACATGTCTACAATGTGTGTGGGTGATCCGAATCAGTCGGGCGGCATTCTCCTTTCATCAGCTGCATAATGCTGTGTGGAAGCTACCTGGTCTGTCGCTTTGCACAAAGCTTTGGGTCTTCTCGGACAGTCATGCCCTCTCTTCTCTAGGAAGGTGAAACGTGGACCTCCCTAAACGGAACATCTGCGTCCATTCGAAACATTAAGGCTGGAATGCCTACACTCAGATTGAGGGAAGCCAAGTGGTAGTGCAATCTATATTTATTGAAAAGGTTCAAGGTTGAAATCCGACACAAACTCATGCCTACATGCAGGCTGGTGCAGGGCCAACTGTTGCCACACGGGGGCAGCTGCCACTTGGGGGTGGTCTTCGAGTATTTGTGATGAGATATGATACAAAACTCCGAGTCGCTGAGGCAATTAAGCAAGCACCATATAAATGCATTTATCACATAGTGAATGCTTGGGAGCTCATTGGCTCTCACTCCTGGTTAGAGATCTACACAACCCACAGGTTCAAATATACTGGCCGCTCTTACTCTGCAGGCTGAACCTCGGAATTGAGTGTTCCAACTTAACATTCTTGCATTAAAGGCTTGTGACAAAGGTGAATCTAGTGGGGCTTCATTGTCTCATGCTTACACATCTACCGGGTCTCCATTTAACTTTGCAATGTCTAAGAAGTCCACCCACACCTCCACTTCCACAAACTGCTGGGAGTTGCTTCGTTCTGCATCAGTCAGAATTCTCCTCCTGCTTCACGTTGCCTCCGTCGATGTGAAGGTCTGATTTCGGAGTTGAATCTTCATCTTCACATTTTACCTTCACTTCTTTGCTCTTCACTGTCACTTATTCACACTTCACCTTCGCATTTTCCTATTTTACCTTGATACCTTTCATAATGTCCAAGCTGGGATTTTCTTCTGGTTCTTGTTTCATGAGAGATGGGCTCATTGCAGCACTTTAACTTTCACAAGAAGATTTCAGACTCCACTCCTTGTGGATCTTTTGATGCTTGTGTGTTCTCTGGTGTCTTTGAAGATGTGTTGACTGTGCAAACGCCTTCCCGCACAGAGTGCACTTGAAGGGTTTCTCTCCTGTACTCCTGGTGCTGCTGATACACTTGGGCTATGTGCATCTCCAAACCCTAAAAAAAGTTTGCCTTTAGAGGCGAACCCCTTTTTCCTCATGACGACAGCTTGTGTCGCGATCGCAACGTCGTGGTATTTTTTATTCACTTAATATCATTTTTATTATTTTTTCTATCTACGTGACGTTATCGAAAAAACAACTAATATGTGTGTGTATACACACCGTGTGTGTAGTGTTGCCACAGTAGGGGGCACAGGTGGTGCATTTGCCAGTCATCTCAGTCAGTCGACCCATGGCACCTGGGTCTGCCCCGTGACCTCCTGCCGGCGGATGTTCGACACTTTACGTGGCCTTAACGTGCATATAGCCTTGCACAAGCACCGTGGTGACGTCACTGCCACTTAGTGGCGAATTGCAGTTGTTGTTCTTGTTAATGTGTATGTGTAGTGACTAACTCGGAGACGATAAGACTTGGAGGCACTTCTTTATTAACGAGCACCATCGGGGTTAACACTTCATATTTAATCCGTCTTATCGGTGACGCTACTCAACCAGGACAGTTGGTAGGCTGTCTGACTAGCGGCGCCCCGAGATGGTAGAGACGGAGACGATGACGAGAAGAATGGCGAAGACGAGAAGAATGGCGACGATGGACTTCAGCAGCACGACAGGCATCTCACTCCAACAGCCCGAGCTCCCCCACAGAGGCCCCTCTTATACGGTCAGCGTAGCCTCGCTGTCCCGGCCAGGCCCCCTTACTGACTGGAACCTCCTAGCGGATTCCTGGTGTGCCCCTTCTGTGACCTTTCCCTTAGATCCCCCTCTCGTGTATATCCTGGCCTGCTAACGTCAGGACTGCCGCATGCCGCAAATCCCCTTTTCTGTCTGCAGCCAGTGTTATGCAACTACATATGTATACACTATGTGTATGTGCAGACTGTGTGTTTATGCTGTATGTACATTGTATGTGTACATTGTGGGTACATAATACATGTCGACAGTACATGGGTGATCCGAATCAGTCGGGCAGCATTCTCTTTTAAAATCCTTTATATTAAGTTCACTTGCTTGCTTGCGCGCTTACGACTGTGCAAATCTTTCGGTCGTTTTTTAACCCACTTCCCATGATCCAATCGAGCTGACATTTTGCACACAGACTCGTTATGCGTGACAATTTATTTTCGTGAAAATTTTTTTCCAAAACTTTGCACTTTTTATGGATTTTTTTTTTCATATTTAATTTAAAATACCAATGTGATAAAAATGAAACTATTACTCAATAAAAACAGAAATGAATAATAAAATAAAACCGATGCCACGCATATAAAGGATTTATAGTGAAAAACTTTGTTTTTACGGGTTAATTTTTTATCAGCTGCGCAATGCTGTGTGGAAGCTACCTGGTCTGTCGCTTGGCACAAAGCTTTGGGTCTTGTCAGCCAGTCATGCCCTGCCTTCTTTCGGCATGTGAAACGTGGACCCCTCTCAATGGAATATCTGCGTCCGTTCGAAACATTAAGGTTGGAATGCCTACACTCAGATTGAGGGAAGCCAAGTGGTAGCACATTCTCTATTTATTACAGAGGTTCAAGGTTCAAATCCGATAGCCACCCCTACCTACTCCAGAAACATTAACCAAAATATGCACTTTCTGCTTAACAGTGGATGTAAAACATACTGTCATTCAAAACACATAGGTCATTACATGTTGGTGTCAATGTCAAAATTTGGGTAATTCCGAATAGTATCCAAAAATTACATGATGGAGAGTTCACATCAATCATCGCCCCCTACTGACAAACTCATGCCCACATGCAGGCTGGTGCAGGGCCACCTTATCCCACACAGGGGCAGCTGCCACTTGGGGATGCCCTTCGAGTGTTTGTGATGAGTTATTATACAAAACTCCGAGCTGCTGAGGCGATTAAGCAAGCACCATATAAATGAATTTATCACATAGTGAACGCTTGGGAGCTTACTGGCTCTCGCTCCTGGTTAGAGATCTACCAAACCCACAGGTCCATAAATACTGACCGCTCTTACTCTGCAGGTTGAACCTAGGAATTTAATGTTCAACTTCACATTCTTTAATTAAAGGCCCGTGACAAACTTGAATCTATTGGAGCTTCATTGTCTCAAGCTTGCACATCTACAGGGTTTCCATTTGACTTGGTCTTGTCTCAGAAGTCCACCCACACCTCCACTTCCACAAACTGCTGGGAGTTGCCTCGCTCTGCCTCACAGTCAGAATTTTCCTCCTGCTTCACGTTACTTCCATCGATGTGAAGGTCCGATTTTGGAGTTGAATCTTCATATTTAACCTTCACTTCTTCGCTCTTCACTGTCACTTCTTCAAATTCATAATTGACCTCTTCATATTTCAACTTGATATCTTTCAAAGTGTCTAAACTGGGATTTTCTTCCAGTTCTTTTTTCACAAGGGATGGGCTCATTGCAGCACTTTGACTCAGACTTGACTCCTTGGGGATCTTCTGATGCCCGTATGTTCTCTGGTGTCTTTGACGATTTGATGAAGTTGCAAACGTCTTCCCGCACATTATGCACTTGAAGGGTTTCTCTCCTGTGTGTGTTCTCTGGTGTATTTTAAGAGAAAATGCATTTGAAAATGCCTTACCACAAATGCCGCACTTGAAGGGTTTCTCTCCTGTGTGTTTTCTCTGGTGCAATACAACAGTAAATGACTGTGAAAACGCTTTCCCGCACAGAGTGCACTTGAAGGGTTTCTCTCCTGTGTGTGTTCTCTGGTGATTTTTAAGAGTAGATAAACCTGAAAATGCCTTCCCACACACACTGCACTTGAAGGGTGTCTCTCCTGTGTGTGTTCTCTGGTGATTTTTAAGAGTAGATGAATCTGAAAATGCATTACCACACACACTGCACTTGAAGGGTTTCTCTCCTGTGTGTGTTCTCTGGTGACTTTTAAGAGTAGATGAATCTGAAAATGCCTTCCCACAAACACTGCACTTGAAGGGTTTCTCTCCTGTGTGCTTTCTCTGGTGAATTACAACAGTAAATGACTGTGAAAACGCCTTCCCACACACAGTGCACTTGAAGGGTTTCTCTCCTGTGTGTGTTCTCTGGTGAGTTTTAAAAGTAGATGAACCTGAAAATGCCTTCCCACAAACACTGCACTTGAAGGGTTTCTCTCCTGTGTGTGTTCTCTGGTGTTTTTTGAGAGTAGATGAACATGAAAATGCCTTCCCACAAACACTGCACGTGAAGGGTTTCTCTCCTGTGTGTGTTCTCTGGTGTCTTTGAAAATGTGGTGCCTGTGCAAACGCCTTCCCGCACAGACTGCACTTGAAGGGTTTCTCTCCTGTATGTGTTCTCTGGTGTCTTTGAAAATGTGGTGACTGTGCAAACGCCTTCCCGCACAGACTGCACTTGAAGGGTTTCTCTCCTGTGTGTGTTCTCTGGTGGATCTTAAGAGCTGATGACCCTGCAAACGCCTTCTGGCATAGAGTGCAATTGAAGGGTTTCTCTCCTGTGTGTGTTCTCTGGTGTTGTGTCAAGTTTCCAGAACGATCCGTGCTGTTTGCATACTGGTCGCATTGTGGCCTTGTTGCAACGAACTGCGCTGAGTCCCTCTGCTCCATCAGACCAAGTCTGCAGAGGAAGCGTCAGCTGCAGACAGAAAAAAATATCCACATCTACGTCAGTATCAAGGCACAGAGGAATGCATATATACACGGTCACTCATGACTTACACGTTGATACTTATTCATATATTCATAATATAGTGAAAAAGATTCCCCAATTCATCACACGGGCTGTTAAGGCACACAATGAGAGGACAAATGGTCCTAAATATGCTTAGACACCCGAGTATCTTCAAAATGAATGTTAACCCAAAACTCCAAGCACAATTTCGGCTGTCTGCCTACAAAATGAATATTTATAAAAGCAAAATTCAGCTAACATAGCAAAGGGTGTTGAAAATTATATTATTTGTGTTATGCAGAAATGCATAAATTAATGTTCAATCGTAACTTAGAGGTGTGAAGCCAGGCTCACATTTGATTGAATGCTCGGATAAACATATCTAGCTTTAGCTGCATATGTGCTATGTTAATTTCCTGACCAATTTCATTCTTATAAACATTTCCAGAGGAAAACAAAAATAAACTATTGTTTTGAATTAACCTCCGTGTTCAAGAGTCAATATACTTTACTGCATATACAAACGTTACTGTCATACACTGGCATGGTAAAAAGGTGGTGGTGTGTCCAGAACCATGCCTGGCTGCCTTCATCTGCTCAGTATTAATGCTTCCTCACTTAACCATGTAATTGAGGATCAATCAACATAGCAGAGGTCCATAATAAGTTAAGTTTTCACTTATCAATCATGTTTGCTGTTGGTGATAATCAAACTCTAATTGTTGAGTTCATAATGCAGTGAAATAACTGCGCCACCACTCCCCACATAGATAACTCTTACACATACATTTCAGATGGATCAATATAAGAAAAAACAAAACAGTGAGCATTCATCACTATTTTGAAGTAACCTTGTCACAGTGCTCATGCCATGATAGGTGAAATTTAATGCTATGTGTGGATCACTTGTCAGCAGATCATGGGAATTATCCAGGTGTCATAGGATAACCGACTGAGATAATTGACAGATCTGTAGTTCCCACGGTCTTTCTGCATTAAAGGCACCCAGTTACACCCAATCATGTGAGCGTCACTACTCCGACTTCATTGTTGTTGCACAGCAAATACCCCCAACTGCCTAGCAGCATACCTCAGGGGCCTCCTCCACAGAGGCTGATCTTGACACTCCTGGTAAAGTCATCAGCAGGTCTGATCACCTCTACATCCTCCAATTTCTTCTCTAGCCAATGCCATGCCTGCTTAGCACCTAATATCTGCATTAACAGAAGCAGCTTGACCATGCGGTGTCGGAGTATGCAGGATTCATGACCCAACCAATGCAGGCTTGCTTGCCAAAGAGACTCACTGATTATATTCTGTACTCATATTTCAGGGATCTGTAAGGTACTCATACAATCTTGTCTGGTTCAATAGAAGAGGGATCATAGGCAGGCCTTTAAATAAGTTCATATTTTGCATCCACAGAGAAAAGAGTAATATCTGTGGCCAAAACGACTCGCAGCTTTGTTCGTTCGTTTCTAAATCCGCTTGTCCTGGGAAGGATTGAGGCAGCAGCACATTCAGTAGGGCAGTCCAGACCTCCCTTTCCCTGGCGACAGACTCTAGCTCTTCCTGGGGAATTCCCAGGCCAAACGAGCTACAGTCCCACCAGCGTGTCCTGGGCCGCCCCCGCAATCTTCCCCCAGTGGGACGGGCCTAGTGGAGTTCGAGGTGGCATTTATTGGGGGCAGCCTTTCAGATATTCTATACTGATATCACCCCTGGAACGAGGCCTGGGGTGGTGTTCGCCAACAAGCACCTGGTGGCTGGGTGACCCACGTAACCCAGTCGGGTCCAGGCATGAATGGCTACGTGGTGCTGTCCTGTCTGCCCACCAACCGCAGGATGAAGGGTGAGGGACGGGTGCGATGCTAGTCTGGCAGGGAGAGGGATGGTTTCAGACGGACTTGACCTTGGCAACTGATATTCACAGCTTCCACACAGTGTTACACAGTCTAATTAAACAATGCTGCTCGATTAATTTGAAGAGCTGGTCGTGAACACATTAACCAGGTATGGGAGCTCCTCCAACATTTGCAGAACTGCCTGATTATTCATGGAGAGTTGAGCAAGTGCAATGTTGTATGACATGAAATTCTTAGGCAGGCGATTTATTTTTGTGGAACATATGCAAGGCCCTATTTAATGATGGAATTAACCAGGCACAGAACAAGATTCCCTAACTCCATCTGATTGTGTAGCCATTACCAGATAATCAGTATATCTAACATGGTTGACAAACAGGGATTGACCCCTTAACTATAACTATGCATCGATTAGCGTATCATTGCAACCGTAATGAATGCAATTTATTTATATGGCCATTGTGAGCTTCTCATAAACTACATAATTATGGACGATGCTATGTAATGTAATGCATGAGGCCAGAGTGAATTCCTGTCACAAGCCAAGTTGAACAAGAAAAGGCTTTGACTCCTGATCATGCTGCTTTAGACAGGCCTGCCCAAAATCATAAAAATCATCAACGACCTTCTACACAACACAGACGCTATACAACAGCTACGACTAAATACATCAATTATACATTGCCTATTAACGAATAAAAAAGCATGCACACACTTGCTTTAAAATAATAAAATATGTACACACCACCATACGCATTCTATTCATACCCACTTCAAGCACTACAAATAATTACTCCCTCCAACAACTTACAGCTTTACACTTCGTTCCTTTGTGGCTATGTCTTCACATTCCTACAACGATTATACATTTAACTCGCATTTAATTAACAATCTCTATATAGCATTTACTCACACACTCAGTACACTGGTCTTCAATATTTTAGATGTGTTTTGTCCGTGGCTTTGACAAAGTTCTTCATCAGACCCAGCTTGATGTGTACGGGTGGTAACAACATCTTCCTTGATTCAACAAGTGGTGGATGCTAAACACCTTTCCTCCCAGGCTCCAATGTAGTGGGAATTTCTCACATGACTATCCCATTCTCAGAGAAAACAGCAGTACTTCATGTATCCAGTCTGTAGACCAAACAAGAGAGCAACAACCTTCAAATCACCACAAAGCTGCCACTGATGTTGGTCATAGTTTATGCACCTCAAAAGTAGTTTCATGTTGTCATAGCTTTCCTTCATATGGACTGCATGACGAACTGAAATTGATGGCGAAACATTTCCATTATGCAGTAAAACAGCTTTAAGATTCATCTTCGATGAATCAATTAACAGTCTCCACTCATCTGGATCATGAACGATGTTGAGGGCTGCCATCACACCATCGATGTTGTTGCAGGCAACAAGGTCACCTTCCATGAAGAAGAATGGGACAATATCCTTTTGACGGTTACGAACATGGAGCCTAAACATCACCAGATTTCATTGCTGCAGTCTGGAGTCCCAACAGCTCTGCTTTACTCTTGGGTAGTTCCATATCCCTCAAAATGTCTTTCAGTTCACCTTGTGCTATGAGGTATGGTTCAGAGGAGGATGAGAGAAAATTTGGGTCATGTGACCTTGATGGTCCAGGACCAGAAGTTTCATCCTCTTCCTCGCCTGACTCAAGTGAGAATGATTCTGGTGCATCAGGAACCGGCAGTCCTCCTCCGTGGGGTACTGGGCGTATTTTTTGACACACCTTTCCCAACTGGAGGCGCCATGCAGAAGTAACAATTGCTGATATGATCTATTGGCTCTCTCCAAATCATTAGCACTGCTAAAGGCATAGATTTCCTTTTCCTGTTCAACCATTGGGAAAGATTTGTTGCACAAGTGTTGCAAAATGTGTGGGGCCCACATCTTGTCCTGATCTCCAAAAAGTCACTTCACCACAAACATAGCAGAAATTATCTGCTTTGTTTACACAAGTACGAGGCATCTCTGCTCACTTTGGCAAAACAGAAAGAAATGTGTCCCTTTGCTAAATCAAATATTGAAAAATAAGAGAGCACGACACTGCATGATTTCTAGAGCTGATATAGGGCAACTTGTTCAGTAGTGATGTAAGCCTAGTTATGATTGCATTATCCATGACTTATAAGAATAACATGATGCAATTCATATCATGTATAAAGCAATACCAGGTTCAAATCACATCATTCATTGTTTTGTTCAAAAAGCAAGTACTGTACTCTGGTTCTTTAGGTAAAGTCACGTAGGTGAGAAAGCAGGGTCTGCTGCTGAGGCAGACTGTTTAAAAAAAGGTTTGAAATGGGTGGAGCTCAAGGGTTATAAAGAAGTGGCCGGGGCTAGTGATGTTAATGTGAGAAATTAGCATGTAACTGTAAGATAGGAGAGCGGCCTCCTTGATGAGCGCACGGAAGTGGCTATGTTAATGTGAGGGATCAGCATGATGCTAATGTGAGAAATTAGAGGGCACGGAAGTGGCTATGTTAATGTGAGAGATTAGCATGATGTTAATTTGAGAAATTAGCATGTAACTGTAGAAAAGAAGAAGAGCGGCCTCCTCGACGAGGGAGTGCAACCCAACGGGTGTAATCTGAAAGGCCTGCGAGTATGAAAGTGCAATGCAACAGACATGCGAGCATGAGAGTGCAATCCAAAGGCATCAGAGTGCAATGCAACAGACATGTCAGAATGAGAGATCTAAGAGAGAGAGAGACAGAGTGGAAATAACAACTGACATATGCAGGTTAGATGGAAACATCAGTCAGTTAAGACTTCACCTGGTTAATAATGTCCTTCCAATGATTGCTCAGTTTGTACCCATCTTCCCGGTTGAAGTTGTGTCTGTGTTTATATATCTGGATGGCTTCGTGAACAAATCTCTGAAGGTAGCCGGTAGGTTTGCAGAGTACCTCCGTCTTGGAAAAATCAATTTCATGCGAGCCCACAGTGTTAAAACAATGATCGGCAACGTCAGAAGTATTGGTCCTACCATGTTTCAGATCTGACTTGCGTTCACGGACGCGGTCCAAGACATGTCGTTTCGTTTCCCCAATGTAACTGCTGCCGCAACCACAGCTCAGTTTGTAAACACCAGGGTATTGCATGTCAGGAATCACATCTTTTACAGATGGGATTATATCATGGATTTTGTGTACTGTATTGAAATGAACCTGGATCTTGTGTTTGTTTGGTAACCCCTGCTATGTACGGTAAAGTGATGGTTTTGGTTGGATCCTCAGAAGGTTGTCTCCGCATTTCAAACCTTTTTTAAAACAGTCGGCCTCAGCTGCAGACCCTGCTTTCCCACCTGATGATGGACGCTTGTGTTGCGCCAGAAACGTGATTTATTTCATTTTATGTTATACCTACGTGACTTTACCGAAAGAACTAAAGAGTATGAATTCCAGCAGTCACGAAAGCTTCATATCAAGCAAGTACAGTCCAAACCCAGTTATAGATTTATTCATAGATGCATTCAAAGATTTATTTTAGTAATTTCTAGTTTAAAATGAATAACATTCTCTTTGTAACTCACACATCCTCTGCCATTCCCAAAGTCAAGGGTCGTATGTGCTGGAATGATTAGCATATCTTGAATACTAGAGCCAAACAACAATTTTAAGAATCATTTTAATTCTCAATGACCCAGAATAAGTAAAGTTGGACTACATTTATTTCAGACGCATTTTTGATAAAAACCAGTTCTATTTACTCTTTTCTGCTTATTAACTTTGATCTCCAACTATGTTCCTTGCGGAAACCGTGCGCTTGTCTTCACCGAAGCCGATTACAATAATTGATGCCATTCGTACAAATGCTGCAATGGCTGCAATTAGAGCTCCTGAACACAAACAAGTGAGACGGCATGCCGCCTGTGCTGCACATAAAGCTAATGAATCTCCAAGACAATGTTGCGATGGCTGCACCTATTGATAATGACACTACTGAACACAAAGAAGCAGGACGGCATGCGACCAGTACTGCTATGCCTGCACCTAGAGTGAATGCAACTCAACAGCAATAAGCTACACAGAAAACTAACACAGCACAAATGAATGCTGCCACAGCTAATAAAACTCAAGTCCACCGACAACCAAGGCAGCTTGCAAACAGCACTACAATGGCTGCAACCAGGTGCCTACTCTGCAGCCAAAAGGAAAAGTCTTCTTTTCCATATATTCCTCACTTCATAAGAGGTTTTTGGATTAGATTGCGTAAATTTCTAAATGTGTCGTTAAAACCCGACACACCCAACTAGTAAGGGTTGTCACGTAAACAAAACATGCCAATTCGTCACTAGTACAGCACACCAATGTGTTGGAGAGCCAAGCCACAACATTTACAATCTGAGTAAGACGTTTTGGGTGAGTACTGAGTCTGTGGGTGAGTGCTGAGTCTGTGGGTGAATGCCGAGTTTGTGGGTGAGTGGTGAGTCTGTGGGTGAGTGCCGAGTCTGTGGGTGAGTGCTGAGTCTGTGGGTGAGTGCTGAGTCTGTGGGTGTATGGTGAGTCCGTGGGTGAGTGGTGAGTCTGTGGGTGTGTGGTGAGTCTGTAGGCGAGTGGTGAGTCTGTGGGTGAGCGCTGATTCTGTGGGTGAGTGGTGAGTTTGTGGGTGAGTGGTGAGTCTGTGGGTGAGTGGTGAGTCTGTGGGTGAGTCTGTGGGTGAGTGGTGAGTCTGTGGGTGAGTGGTGAGTCTGTGGGTGTGTGGTGAGTCTGTGGGTGTGTGGTGAGTCTGTGGGTGAGCGCTGAGTTTGTGGGTGAATGCCGAGTTTGTGGGTGAGTGGTGAGTCTGTGGGTGAGTGCCGAGTCTGTGGGTGAGTGCTGAGTCTGTGGGTGAGTGCTGAGTCTGTGGGTGTATGGTGAGTCCGTGGGTGAGTGGTGAGTCTGTGGGTGTGTGGTGAGTCTGTAGGCGAATGGTGAGTCTGTGGGTGAGCGCTGATTCTGTGGGTGAGTGGTGAGTTTGTGGGTGAGTGGTGAGTCTGTGGGTGAGTGGTGAGTCTGTGGGTGAGTCTGTGGGTGAGTGGTGAGTCTGTGGGTGAGTGGTGAGTCTGTGGGTGTGTGGTGAGTCTGTGGGTGTGTGGTGAGTCTGTGGGTGAGCGCTGAGTTTGTGGGTGAGTGGTGAGTCTGTGGGTGAGCGCTGAGTCTGTGGGTGAGTGTTGAGTCTGTGGGTGAGTGGTGAGTCTGTGGGTGAGTGGTGAGTCTGTGGGTGAGCGCTGATTCTGTGGGTGAGTGGTGAGTCTGTGGGTGAGTGGTGAGTCTGTGGGTGAGTGCTGAGTCTGTGGCACTGCCGTGGATTCAACACAAACCGAGAAAGAGGTGCAGCCGGCTCCAACGTCCGCCCAACGTTCCGAGGGTCGACTTTGCTCCTTTTAATTCTAACAAACACAAAGACAGACGGGCGTATCGAGAGAGTCAACGCGAGGCCGGCGATTCGCGTTGAGGAGCAATTCCCCCGGGGTCGGATCTTGGCCGTGGAAATTCGGCAGCAGCTGGGCAACACCGCACGGCGATTCCCGACGACGAGATTTGTTTGCGAAGTTAGAGCGCTCAAAGGCGAGTATCCTTATTTTGGCAAAAATAAAAACCGCACCGCACCGTCGGATTAACGCGAGACGGTCGGAACGCGCTGGCTGGAAACGCGAATCGAAGCCGATTCCCAGCATCGGATCCTGCACCGCGGAAGATTCGGCACAAGACGAGGAACAAGTCGAGCCCCGTCTCGCGTCGGTGAGCGTTTAAAACGAGTCACCTATCGGGGGTTTAAGGCGATTACCCTTATTTTGGCACAACAACAAAAACGACGCACCGGTGATCAACGCGAATCGAAGCCACTTCCCCAGCGTCATCTGAACGTCGCGATCCGGTACAAGACGGACGTCGGGCGAACGTTCAAAACGCATCGACTCTGATTACCCTTGAACACGTAGACTTACGCGACCAATATCCATAATAGAGGTGTTTTGGGTTAGATCGCGTAAATATATAAATGTGTAGTTAAAACTCGCCACCACCTAACTAGTAAGGGTTGTCACGTAATTACAACTCGCTTCACTGATGAAGTTGGTTGTAATTACTGGCGAAACGCCGTATTCAAGATTGTAAATGTTGTGGCTTGGCTCTCCAACACACAACCAGTGTGCTGTACTAGTACACTACAATATACACTACACTAGTGCTGTACTAGTACACTACACTATACACTACACTAGTGCTGTACTAGTACACTACACTATACACTAGTGCTGTACTAGTACACTACAATATACACTACACTATACACTACACTAGTGCTGTACTAGTACACTACACTATACACTAGTGCTGTACTAGTACACTACAATATACACTACACTACTATACAAGAGTGCTGTACTAGTACACTACACTATACACTAGTGCTGTACTAGTACACTACAATATACACTACACTATACACTAGTGCTGTACTAGTACACTACACTATACACTAGTGCTGTACTAGTACACTACACTACACACTGCTATACACTAGTGCTGTACTAGTACACTACACTATACACTAGTGCTGTACTAGTACACTACAATATACACTACACTACTATACACTAGTGCTGTACTAGTACACTACTATACACTAGTGCTGTACTAGTACACTACACTATACACTACTATACACTAGTGGTGTACTGGTGACGAATTGGCCACGTTGTTTACGTGACAACCCTTACTAGTTGGCTGTGTCGGGGTGGTGGCGGGTTTTCACGACACATTTATATATTTACGCGATCTAACCCAAAACAACTCTTATGGGTGATTACGCTTATTTTCTGACCCAACAAAAAAAACACCGCTTGCAAGCCGCCTCTCACTTTGACGCGTCTCTCTCTCTCCCTTCGTCGCTCTCTCTCATCCCCTCCTTCCGCCTCCTTCGACCGCCGCTGCCACTTTTGTTCCTTCCGCCTCCTTCTTCCTCTCCTTCCGTTCTGTTCGTTCTCCCACTTTTCGCTCCGCTCCGCAAGCCACAAAGGAAACAACAATGGCCGCCGAAAGAGGGTGAGGAGGTGAGGGGGAGATGGCGACCCCCCCCCCCCCGCATTGTAACGAGTGGTGGGGTACCCCTGACCAAGATGGCGGAAGGTTGACCTTTGACGTAGCTTCCGGTAAACGTTACAAAAGTGACGTGAGATGGGGGCGGGGTTAATCCAGTTGGTGACGTTAGGGTCCGGTCACGTGGTGGATATCCATCCCCTACGTAAGATGGCGACCCCCCCGTATTGTGAGGGAAGGGGCGGAAGGCTGAAGTATGCCGTAGTTTTCGGTACACGTTAACAAAAGAGAGGTGGGGTGAGGATGGTGGTGAGGTTAATCCGGTTGTTGACGTAGCTACCGGTCACGTGGGGTTGCCCACCCCTTCGTAAGATGGTGACCCGTATTGCAGTGAGAAAAGGGGGGGGGGTACCCCTGGCCAAGATGGCAGAAGGTTGAGGTTTGTCGTAAGTTTCGGTCCAAGTTCGCAATGGAGGGGTGAGGTCGGGTGGCGTCCAGCGGAAATGACGTCATATCATAGCCATCTTGGATAGGGGTGAAGATGTTGAGGCCGCCATGTTGGGTGGGAGAGAGGAAGATGTCGCCATCTTGGTTAGGGAGAGAGGTAAAGACGGAGACGTCGCCATCTTGGGTAGGGGGAGAGAGGAAGATGACGACAATCTTCCTCCTATCCAAGATGGCGACATAATCTTCCTCTGTCCTAACCAAGATGGCGACATCACCTTCCTCTCTCCGAAGTCAACAACCGGATTGTGGCTGGCAGAGCGGAGCGAAAAGTGGGGGAACGAACAGAACGGAAGGAGAGGAAGGAGGAGGAAGGAACAAACGCGGCAGCGGCGGTCGAAGGAGAAGGAAGGAGGGGAAGAGAGAGACGAAGGAAGAGAGAGCGACGAAGGAAGAGACGCGTCAAAGTGAGACGCGGCTTGCAGGCGGTGTTTTTTTTGTTGGGTCAGAAAATAAGCGAAATCACCCATATTAGAGTTGTTTTTGCCAAAATCGTCTTTGAGCGCTCTAACTTCGCAAACAAATCTCCGACGTCGTCGGGAATCGCCGTGCGGTGTTGCCCAGCTGCTGCCGAATTTCCACGGCCACGATCCGACCCCGGGGGAATTGCTCCTCAACGCGAATCGCCGGCCTCGCGTTGACTCTCCCGATACGCCCGTCTGTCTTTGTGTTTGTCAGAATTAAAAGGAGCAAAGTCGACCCTCGGAACGTTGGGCGGACGTTGGAGCCGGCTGCACCTCTTTCTCGGTTTGTGTTGAATCCACTGCAGAGTGCCACAGACTCAGCACTCACCCACAGACTCACCACTCACCACAGACTCAGCACTCACCCACAGACTCACCACTCACCACAGACTCACCACTCACCCACAGACTCACCACTCACCATAGACTCACCACTCACCCACAGACTCACCACTCACCACAGACTCACCACTCACCCACAGACTCACCACTCACCCACAGACTCACCACTCACCCACAGACTCACCACTCACACACAGACTCACCACTCACCATAGACTCACCACTCACCCACAGACTCACCACTCACCACAGACTCAGCACTCACCCACAGACTCACCACTCACCACAGACTCACCACTCACCCACAGACTCACCACTCACCATAGACTCACCACTCACCCACAGACTCACCACTCACCACAGACTCACCACTCACCCACAGACTCACCACTCACCCACAGACTCACCACTCACCCACAGACTCACCACTCACACACAGACTCACCACTCACCACAGACTCGGCACTCACCCACAGACTCACCCACAGACTCACCACTCACCCACAGACTCACCACTCACCCACAGACTCACCACTCACCCACAGACTCACCACTCACACACAGACTCACCACTCACCACAGACTCGGCACTCACCCACAGACTCACCCACAGACGCACCACTCACCCACAGACTCACCACTCACCCACAGACTCACCACTCACCCACAGACTCACCACTCACCCACAGACTCACCCACAGACTCAGCACTCACCACAGACTCACCACTCACCCACAGACTCACCACTCACCCACAGACTCACCACTCACCCACAGACTCACCACTCACCCACAGACTCACCACTCACCACAGACTCGGCACTCACCCACAGACTCACCACTCGCCCACAAACTCACCACTCACCCACAGACTCACCACTCACCCACAGACTCACCACTCACCACAGACTCGGCACTCACCCACAGACTCACCCACAGACTCACCACTCACCCACAGACTTACCACTTACCGACAGACTCACCACTTACCGACAGACTCACCACTCACCCACAGACTCACCACTCACCCACAGACTCAGCACTCACCCACAGACTCAGCGCTCACCCACAGACTCACCACTCACCCACAGACTCACCACTCACCCACAGACTCACCACTCACCCACAGACTCAGCACTCACCCACAGACTCACCACTCACCCACAGACTCGCCACTCACCCACAGACTCGCCACTCACCCACAGACTCAGCACTCACCCACAGACTCACCACTCACCGACAGACGCACCAATCACCCACAGACTCACCACTCACCCACAGACTCACCACTCACCCACAGACTCAGCACTCACCCACAGACTCACCACTCACCCACAGACTCAGCACTCACCCACAGACTCACCGCTCACCCACAGACTCAGCGCTCACCCACAGACTCACCACTCGCCCACAAACTGACCCACAGACTCAGCACTCACCCACAGACTCGGCACTTACCCACAGACTCACCACTCACCCACAGACTCACCACTCGCCCACAAACTCACCCACAGACTCACCACTCACCGACAGACGCACCAATCACCCACAGACTCACCACTCACCCACAGACCCACCACTCACCCACAGACCCAGCACTCACCCACAGACTCACCACTCACCCACAGACTCACCACTCGCCCACAAACTCACCCACAGACTCACCACTCACCGACAGACGCACCACTCACCCACAGACTCACCACTCACCCACAGACTCAGCACTCACCCACAGACTCAGCACTCACCCACAGACTCACCACTCACCCACAGACTCAGCACTCACCCACAGACTCACCGCTCACCCACAGACTCAGCGCTCACCCACAGACTCACCACTCGCCCACAAACTGACCCACAGACTCAGCACTCACCCACAGACTCAGCACTCACCCACAGACTCAGCACTCACCCACAGACTCACCAATCACCCACATACTCACCACTCACCCACAGACTCACCACTCACCCACAGACTCACCACTTACCCACAGACTCACCACTCACCCACAGACTCAGCACTCACCCACAGACTCACCACTCACCCACAGACTCAGCGCTCACCCACAGACTCGCCACTCGCCCACAGACTCACCACTCACCCACAGACTCGGCACTCACCCATACACTCACCCACAGACTCACCACTCACCCACAGACTCACCACTCACCCACAGACTCGGCACTCACCCACACACTCACCCACAGACTCACCACTCACCCACAGACTCACCACTCACCCAGAGACTCACCACTCACCCACAGACTCACCACTCACCCACAGACTCGGCACTCACCCATACACTCACCCACAGACTCACCACTCACCCACAGACTCACCACTCACCCACAGACTCGGCACTCACCCACACACTCACCCACAGACTCACCGCTCACCCACAGACTCACCGCTCACCCACAGACTCAGTGCTCACCCACAGACTCAACACTCACCCACAGACTCATCACTCACCCACAGACTCAGTGCTCACCCACAGACTCACCACTCACCCACAGACTCACCACTCACCCACAGACTCACCACTCACCCACAGACTCACCACTCACCCACAGACTCGGCAGTTACCCACAGACTCAGCACTCGCCCAAAGACTCGGCACTCACCCGCAGACTCACCACTTACCCACAGACTCAGCACTCACCCACAGACTCACCACTCACCCACAGACTCACCGCTCACCCACAGACTCAGTGCTCACCCACAGACTCAACACTCACCCACAGACTCACCACTCACCCACAGACTCACCACTCACCCACAGACTCGGCACTCACCCACAGACTCGGCACTCACCCACAGACTCACCACTCACCCACAGACTCACCACTCACCCACAGACTCACCACTCACCCACAGACTCAACACTCACCCACAGACTCAACACTCACCCACAGACTCACCACTCACCCACAGACTCACCACTCACCCACAGACTCAGCACTCACCCACAGACTCGCCACTCACCTGCAGACTCACCCACAGACTCACCACTCACCCACAGACTCACCACTCACCCACAGATCCACCACTCACCCACAGACTCACCACTCACCCACAGACTCAGCACTCATCCACAGACTCACCATTCACCCACAGACTCACCACTCACCCACAGACTCACCACTCACACACAGACTCACCACTCACCCACAGACTCACCACTCACCCAAAACATCTTTTTCCAATTGTAAATGTTGTGGCTTGGCTCTCCAACACACAACCTGTGTGCTGTACTAGTGACAAATTGGCATGTTCTGTTTACGTGACAACCCTTACTAGTTGGCTGTGTCGGGTGGTGGTGGGTGTTAACGATACATCTAGAAATTTAAGTGATCTAACCCAAAAACCTCTATTATGAGGTGAGGAATGTATGGAAAATAAGACTTTTTCTTTTGGTACCTTGTTGCAGCCATTGTAGTGCTGTTTGAAAGCTCCCTTGGTTTTTGGTGGACTGGAGTTTGATTAGCTGTGGCAGCATCCATTTGTGCTGTCTTAGTTTTCTGTGTAGCTTATTGCTGTTGAGGAGTTGCATTCGCTCTAGGTGCAGGCATAGCAGCACTGGTCGCATGTGGTCTTACTTCATGCTGTACTGGAGTTTCATAAGCTGTAGGTGCAGCCATCGCAGCACTGGCAGCATGCTATGCTGTCTTGGAGATTCATTAGCTGTATGTGCAGCACAGGCAGCATGCCGTCTCAATTCTTTGTGTTCAGGAGCTATAATTGCAGCCATTGCAGCACTTTTACGAATGGCATCAATTATTGTAATCGTCTTTGGTGAAGACAAGCGCACGTTTTCTGCAAGGAACATAGGTGGAGGTAAAAGTTAATAAGCAGAAAAGAGTAAATAGAACTGGTCTTTCGCAAAAATGTGTCTTAAATAAATGTAGTCCAACTTTACTTATTCTGGGTAATTGAGAATGAAAATTATTCTTAAAAGTGTTGTTTGGCTCTAGTTTTCAATACATACGACCCTTGACTTTGGGAATGGCAGAGGATGTGTGAGTTATAAAGAGAAGGGTATTCATCTTCTTGGTTCTTTCGGTAAAGTCACGTTGAAGGGAAGTAATAAAATAATACAAATAAAACATAATAAAATAATTCTCACGACGTTTCGGCCACAACGCAAGCAGCCGTCTTCAGGTGGAGAACAGGTCTGTCAATGGCACGCTCCAGGCTTGGAGCGACTATTCATGCTGGGATGGAGGGGCGAAGAGCGTCTTGACAAAATAATTTGCATATCAAGAGGAATTTAGCATATTTATGGGAAATGCAGATATGCGATTAGTACTACAAGTAGACGCTCTAGAAATCATGCAGTGTAGTGCTCTCTTATTTTTCAATATTTGATTTAGCAAAGGGACACATTTCTATTTTGCCAAAGTGAGCAGAGATGCCTCGTACTTGTGTAAACAAAGCAGATCACTTCTGCTATGTTTGTGGCGAAGTGACGTTTGCATCACAAAAGCGCAGTATAACCACTATGGTTAAGAAAGCCTATCACATTCATTTCGGCTGCAAAATTGGAGATCAGGACAAGATGTGGGCCCCACACATTCTGCAACACTTGTGCAACAAATCTTTGCCAATAGTTGAACAGGAAAAGGAAATCTATGCCTTTTGCAGTGCTAATGATTTGGAGAGATCCAATAGATCATATCAGCAATTGTTACTTCTGCATGGTGCCTCCAGTTGGGAAAGGTGTGTTAAACAATTAACGGTGAACTGTGCATTCCATCAGCTATATGCCCAGTACTCCACGGAGAAGGACTGCCTGTTCCTGATGCACCAGAATCATTCTCATTTGAGTCAGGCAAGGAAGAGGATGAAACTTCTGGTCCTGGACCATCAAGGTCACATGACCCAGATTTTCTCCCATCCTTCTCTGAACCACACCTCATAACACAAGGTTAACTGAAAGACTTTGTCAGGGATTTGGAACTACCAAGAGTAAGGCAGAGCTGTTGGGCTCTCGACTGCAGCAGTGGAATCTCCTGGCAGGTGATGTGAGGGTTTCCATGTTCGTGACCGTCAAAAGGATCGTCCCATTATTCTTCATGGAAGGTGATCTTGGAGCCTGTAACATCGATTGTGTAATGGCAGCTCTCAACATCGTTCATGATCCAGATGAGTGGAGACTGTTCATTGATTCATCGAAGATGAGTCTTAAAGCTGTTTTTCTGCATAATGGCAATGTTTTGCCATCAATTTCAGTTGGTCATGTAGTCCATATGAAGGAAACCTATGACAACATTCAACAACTTTTGAGGTGCTATAAACTATGACCAACATCAGTGGTAGCTTTGTAGTGATTTGAAGGTTGTTACTCTCTTGTTTGGTCTACAGACTGGATACATAAAGTACTGCTGTTTTCTCTGCGAATGGGATAGTCATGCGAGAGATTTCTACTACATTGGAGCCTGGGGGGAAAGGTATTCAGCATCCACCACTTGTTGAATCAAGGAAGATTTTGTTACCACCCGTACACATCAAGCTGGGTCTGATGAAGAACTTTGTCAAAGCCATGGACAAAACACATCTAAAAAACGTAAGAACAGTGTAGTGAGTGTGTGAGTAAATTCTATATAGAGATTGTTAATGAAATGCGAGTTAAATGTATAATCGTTGTAGGAATGTGAAGACATAGCCACAAAGGAACGAAGTGTAAAGCTGTAAGTTGTTGGAAGGAGTAATTGTTTCTAGTGCTTGAAGTTGGTATGAATAGAATGCGTGTGGTGATGTGGACATATATTATTATTTTAAAGTGAGTGTGTGCATGCTTTTTATTCGTTAATAGGCAATGTAGAATTTATGTATTTAGTCGTATCTGTTGTATAGCGTCTATGTTGTGTAGAATATCGACAGTACTGTTATGTAGATATTTTAGAATAGTACATGTGTTTTTAAAATAAATATTGCAGTGTGTGTTAGAGGTGAGCCATGCACGTGCAAGAGAGGACGGTAAGGAGCCGGAAGTGGATGAATTTTCCAGCAAAAACGCAGGCCTGATAATATGAGTGCGTGGAATTGTAGTTTCTGAAATGTCATAATGTGTTTGCGTGCGTGGCAAACCGGTAGTAGTGAGAATGGCAAAAGAAAGGGTGGGGGGTTGGATGCAGCAGCGAGGGGTTGGAGTTTGCAGATGTTGAAGGTGAGCAAGTAAGCTAAAAATTGTGCAAAAAACACACTAAAACACTATCGCCCGTGAGTATGCATGGAAAGTTTGGGTTGTGTAGGTTTCATGGGAACAAAGTACACGTGCAAAGTCTGCTTTATTTATATAAATGTTTCCTATTTTTTATCTTGGAATATTTTTTGGATATGGTTTCTCAATGTTTATTTCAATTGCTTAGTTTTTAGTTTATTTGGAATACAGTACAGTACTTATTTCAATTGTGATGTAAATTTTAGTTGCCGTTTACCTAACGCCATGACTTAGGTAAGACTTAAGTATTTAATATTGCGCTTTAAGCTTTCACGTGGCACTTTCCAAGAACGTAACCTCCGTGATATTCAAGGGGCTGCTGTATTTTCTGTCGATCGACTACAGCAGAGGAGTACTCCGGAAACTAAATCTCTGCTTTCTTGATTAAATTAAGGCCTATAGTACCATAAAGAGGCTTTGGGCTTTGGGTTCTTTGTTTTCGATGTCTGCCTCTGCTCAGACTCGTTGATGACTTTTATGATTTTGGGCAGGCCCGTCTAAAGCTGCATGACCAGGAGTCGAAGCCTTTTCCTGTTCAAATTTTCTAGTGACAGGAATTCACTCTGGCCTCATGCATTACATTACATAGCATCGTCAATAATTAAGTAGTTTATGAGAAGCTCACAATGGCCATATAAATAAATTGCATTCATTACGGTTGCAATGATGCGCTAATCGATGCATGGTTATAGTTAAGGGATCAATCCCTGCTTGTCAACCATGTTAGATATACTGATTATCTGGTAATGGCTACACAATCAGATGGAGTTAGGGAATCTTGTTTTGTGCCTGGATAATTCAATCATGAAATGGGGCCTTGCATATATTCCACAAAATAAATCGCCTGCCTGGGAATTTCATATCATACAACACTGCACCTGCTCAACTCTCCATGAATAATCAGGTCAGTTCTACAAATGTTGGAGGAGCTCCCATATCTGGTTAATATGTTCACGACCAGCTCTTCAAATTAATTGAGCAGCATGGTTTCATTAAACTGTGTAACACTGTGTGGAAGCTGCCTGGACTTTTGCTCCATACAAAGCTGTGACTGTCCATTGCCAAGGTCTAGTCTGTCTGAGACCATCCCCCTCCCTGCCATACTGGCATCGCACCCGTCCCTCACCCTTCATCCTGCGGTTGGTGGGCGGACCACGTAGCCATTCATGCCTGGGCCTGACTGGGTTACGTGGGTCACCCAGCCACCAGGTGCTTGTTGGCGAACACCACCCCCAGGCCTCGTTCCAGGGATGATATCAATATAGAATATCTGTAAGGATGCCCCCAATAAACGCCCCCCTCGAACTCTACCAGGCATGTCCCACTGGGGGAAAACCGCGGGGGCGGCCCAGGACACGCTGGCGGGACTATGTCGCTCGGCTGGCCTAGGAACGCCTGGGAATTCCCCAGGAAGAGCTAGAGTCTGTCAGCAGGGAAAGGGAGGTCTGGACTGCCCTACTGAATGTGCTGATGCCACAACCCTCACCAGGACAAGCGGATTTAGAAACGAATGAACGAACAAAGCTTTGAGTCGTTTTGGCCACAGATATTACTCCTTTCTCTGTGGATGCAAAATATGAACTTATTTAAAGGCCTGCCTATGATCCCTCCTCTATTGAACCAGACAAGATTGTATTAGTACCTTACAGATCCCTGAAATATCAGTACAGAATATAATCAGTGAGTCTCTTTGGCAAGCGAGCCTTCATTGGTTGGGTCATGAATCCTGCATACTCCATGGTCAAGCAGCTTTTGTTAGTGCAGATATTAGGGGCTAAACAGGCATGGCATTGGCTAAAGAAGAGATTGGAGGATGTAGAGGTGATCAGACCTGCTGATGACTTTACCAGGAGTGTCAAGATTAGCCTCTGTGGAGGAGGCCCCTGAGGTATGTTGCAGGGCAGTTGGAGGTATTTCCTGTACAACAACAATGAGGTCAAAGGAGTGACGCTCTTGTGTAGGTCTACAATCTTGTCCCTGACATCCTTGGAGAGCTCTTTGGTCTTGGCCATGGTGGAGAGTTTGGAATCTGATTGATTGATTGCTTCTGTGAACAGGTGTCTTTTATACAGGTAACAAGCTGAGATTAGGAGCACTCCCTTTAAGAGTGTGCTCCTAATCTCAGCTCGTTACCTGTTGTAAAAGACACCTGGGAGCCAGAAATGTTTTTGATTGAGAGAGGATCAAATACTTATTTCCCCCATTAAAATGCAAATCAATTTATAACATTTTGACATGCGTTTTTTTCTGGATTTTGTTGTTATTCTGTCTTTCACTGTTCAAATAAACCTACCATTAAAATTATAGACTGATCATTTCTTTGTCAGTGGGCAAACGTACAAAATCAGCAGGGGATCAAATACTTTTTTCCCTCACTGTATGCTGCAGGACAGTTAAGAGATATTTGCTCTGCAACAACAATGAGGTCAGAGGAGTGACGCTCACATGAATGGGTGGAACTCTGGGTGCCTATAATGCAGAAAGACATTGGGGAGCACAGCTGATGCATCTCTCAATTATCTCAGTCGGTTATCCCATGACACCTGGATCATTCCCATGACCTGCTGACAAGTGATCCACACTTACATAACATTAAATTGCACCTATCATGGCATGATCACTGTGACAAGGTTACTTAAAAATAGTGATGAATGCTCACTGTTTTCTTTTTTCTTTTATTGATCCATTTGAAATGTATTTGGAAGAGTTATCTATGTGGGGAGCGGTGGCACAGTTATTTCACTGCATTATGAACTCAACAATTAGAGTTTGATTATCACCAACAGCAAACATGATTGATAAGTGAAAACTTAACTTATTGTGGGCCTCTGCTATGTTGAATGATCCTCAATTAATTACATGGTGAAGTGAGGAAGCATTAATACTGAGCAGATGAAGGCGGCCAGGCATGGTTCTGGACACACCACCACCTTTTTACCATGCCAGTGTATGACAGTGTAAAGTTTGTATTTGCTGTAAAGTATATTAACTCGATTGAACACGGAGGTTAAATCAAAAGATTTTTTTTTTTTCCTCTGGAACTTTTTAAAGAATGGAAACAGGAAAATAACACCACATATGCAGCTTAAGTTACATCTGTTCATCCGAGCATTCAAACAAATCTGAACCTGGCTTCACACATCTAAGTTATAATTGAACATTAATTTATGCATTTCTGCATAACACAAATAGTATTATTTTCAACACACTTTGCTTTGTTAGCTGAATTTTGCTTTTCTAAATATTCCTTTGTAGACAGACAGCTGAAATTGTGTGCTGTAAGTTTTGGGTTAACATTAATTTTTAAGATACTTGGGCTTCCAGACATTAATGACCATTTGCCCTCTCATTGTGCCTAACAGCCAGTGTGCTGAACAGGGGAATCTTTTTAACTATATCATTAAAAATGAATAAGTATAGACGTGTAAGTCATGTGACTGTGTATATGCATTCCTCTGTGCCTTGATACTGACGTAGATGGTGTGGATATTTTTTTTTCTTTCTGCAGCTGACGCTTCCTCTGCAAAATTGTTCTGATGGAGCAAAGGGACTCAGTGCACCTCGGTACAAAAATGCAACAATGCGACCAGTATGCAAACACAACGGATCGTACTGGAAATTTGAGACGGCACCAAAGAACTCACACAGGAGAGAAACCTTCAAGTGCAGTGTGTGTGGGAAGGCATTTTCATCTTCATCTAATCTTAAACAACACCAGATAGCACATATAGTAGAGAAACCTTTCAAGTGCACTGTGTGCGAGAAGACGTTTGCACGGTCAGCACATCTTCAAAGACACCAGAGAGCACACACAGGAGAGAACCCATTCAAGTGCAGTGTGTGTGGGAAGGCATTTTCATGTTCATTTACTCTTAAACAACACCAGATAACACATACAGGAGAGAAACCTTTCAAGTGCACTTTGTGTGAGAAGGCATTTACACGGTCATCAAATCTTCAGAGCCACCAGAGAACTCACACAGGAGAGAAACCATTCAAGTGCACTCTATGCGGGAAGGCGTTTGCACGGTCATCAGTTCTTCAGAGCCACCAGAGAACTCACACAGGAGAGAAACCCTTCAAGTGCACTGTCTGTGAGAAGGCATTTGCATGGTCATCATTTCTTCAGATCCACCAGAGAACTCACACAGGAGAGAAACCCTTCAAGTGCACTGTATGTGAACAGGCATTTGCACAGTCATCAGCTCTTCAGACCCACCAGAGAACACACACAGGAGAGAAACCCTTCAAGTGCAGTGTGTGTGGGAAGGCATTTTCATCTTCATTTACTCTTAAACAACACCAGAGAACACATACAGGAGAAAACCCATTCAAGTGCAGTGTTTGCGGGAATGCATTTTCAGATTCATCTACTCTTAAAACACACCAGAGAACACACACAGGAGAGAAACCCTTCAAGTGCAGTGTGTGTGGAAATGCATTTTCAGATTCATCTACTCTTAAAACACACCAGAGAACACACACAGGAGAGAAACCATTCAAGTGCATTGGTGTGGGAAGGCGTTTACACAGTCATCAAATCTTAAAACACACCAGAGAACACACAGTCATCAGAAGAAGGAGTGGAGTCTGAAATCGGCTTGTGAACGTCAAAGTGCTGCAATGAGCCCATCCCTCATGAAACAAGAACCAGAAGCAAATCTCAGCTTGGACACTTATAAAGGAATCGAGGTGAAATATGAAAAAGTGAATTTGAAATTTGAAGAAGTGATAGTGAAGAGCGAAAAAGTGAAGGTTAAATGTGAAGATGAAGATTCAACTCCAATATTGGACCTTCACATCGATGGAGGCAACGTGAAGCAGGAGGAGAATGCAGAGCGATGGCAACTCCCATCAGTTTGTGGAAGTGGAGGTGTGGGGTGGCCTTCTTAGACAGTACAAAGTCAAATGGAGACCAGGTAGATGTGCAAACTTGATACAATGATACTCCAATAGATTCACCTTTGTCACAGGCCTTTCATGAAAAGAATGTGAAGTTGAACACTCAATTCCTAGGTTCAACCTGCAAAGTAAGAGCAGCCAGTATTTGTGGACCTGTGGGTTGGGTAGATCTCTAACCAGGAGCGAGAGCCAATAAGCTCCCAAGCATTCACTATGTTATAATATTTGCATTTATATGGTGCTTGCTTAATTGCCTCAGTAATTCGGAGTTTCGTATCATTTCATCACAAACACTCGAAGAGAATCCCCAAGCGGCAGCTGCCCCTGTGTGGCATAAGGTGGCCCTGCATCAGCCGGCATGTGGGAATGAGTCTTTCAGTAGGGAGCGATGATTGATGTGTAATCTCAGTTGTGTAATACTGGTCTATACGTTTTTTAGACGTCTTCTGCTTTAGAGATGAAATGTGCTGTTTATTATGGAGTTTTACCGCGCCGATTCAAATATGACAATTAAAACAACTGATTGTCTACTGTTCCCAAGATATTTAAGTTTTTACATTATATGTCTGTATATTCTGTTGATCGGTAGAGTTTTACTCATAAATTGTAAACCTCGGTCTTTTAATATATTTAATGTTGCTTTACATGGTCACATGTCACCTGTCTTGTTCATGTGACACTTACAAATCAGTAAAAAGGATATATAACTCTAATTATGAAACGAAAGGAAAAACTATTATGTGTATAAAATGACAAAGTTACGTCCTTATTCAGTGTCTACTTGGTGCCTCTTGCTTGTCTCTTGTATCCATTAAATGGAGCATCTCTTGTCACTGTCCAGCAATAGTCTGCAAGCATTGATGGGCTCCTTTGCCCTGATACCGTTTCTCTATTGGTTGCAATGTCCTGGTGAAATCGCTCGCCATTCTCATCGCTCACTGCTCCGCAATTCGGTGGGATAAAATCTAGATGAGCGCAAAAAATATATCTTTAGTGACATGTTGCAACCAAGGATTGTGGTATGCCTTGAGGTTTTCCAGCCAACTCCCTCTAGTTGCCACTAACTGGAAGGCTTTCCATGCCTCTTTTCCTTGCCACACAGTTGCACTGTCAAATGCATAATCTCGAAGAAGTTCATTAATCCGTTATATTAGCTTCACTTACACCTTGGAAATTTTCCACGGAGGTACTTGAAAACTGCTTGTCCATGGCTTAGACAAAGTTCTTAATCAGATCCAGCTTGATGTGTATGGGTGGGTAACAACATTTTCCTTGATTCAACAGTGGTGGATGCTGAACGCACTTTTCCTCCCAGGCTCCAATGTAGTGGGAATCTCTCGCACGGTCTTCCTTCGCAGAGAAACAGCAGTACTTTGTGTATCCAGTCTGTAGACCAAACAAGAGAACATGTCAATGTTGAGAAGGTCCCCAGCCACCGGAGGTGGTGGGAATTCTGGTGCTAGCTGCCTCACAAACTAAGTTGCACTTGTGGTGATTGTTTACATTGGGGAAACGAAACAACATATTTTTCGATTAAAGCTTTCGTGACTGCAGGGATTCATCTTCTTGTTTCTTTCGGTAAAGTCACGTAGAAGGGAAGTATAAAATAATAAAAATAAAACATAATAAAACAATTCCTCACGACGTTTCGGCTACAACTGCAAGCAGCCGACGGCTGCTTGCGTTGTAGCCGAAACGTCGTGAGAATTGTTTTATTATGTTTTATTTTTATTATTTTATTACTTCCCTTCTACGTGACTTTACCGAAAGAAACAAGAAGATGAAACAACATATATCGGATGTATTGGCGAGCACAAGGCAGCTATAACGCTGTGAGCTCTCATGATATTGTTTTTCCGAGACCAAGGTGCTCTGCAAACCGTCAGGATACTATCAAAGGTTTGTTCATGAAGCCACCCAGATATATAAACTTAGACATAACTTCAACCGGGAAGATAGATACAAACTGAGCAATCATTGGAAGGACGTTATTAACCAAGTAAAGTCTTAACTGACTGTGATGATTCCATCCTACCTGCCTGTTTCAGCTGTTATTTCTGACTCTCCGAGTACATCACCAGGCTAAACATCTGTGTGGCAGCCAAGGCACAGGATTCCCACCCCCCCGGTGGCTGGGGACTTTCTCACATTGACATGCTAATCTCTCACATTTACATTTACGTACAAATTCCTTCTCTAGCTCCGCACACTTACCCTTGGGTGAGGCAGCCTAGGCACAGGATTCCCACCACCCCTGGTGTCTGGGGACTTTCTCACATTGACATGCTAATCTCTCACATTTACGTACAAATTCCTTTTCTAGCTCCTCCCACTTACCATTGGGTTGAGCCCACCAAAATCTGATAAAAACTCTTGTTGCAGCAGCTCTTTCTCCTATGTCAGCAGTTCTGCTGTATCTGTTCCACCTGATGACGGTCGCTTGTGTTGCGATCGAAACGTCGTGATTTAATTTATTTTATACCTACGTGACTTTACCGAAAGAACCAAAATGTATGGATCCCTGCAGTCACGAAAACTTCAGATCTAGATATAGCAACAACCTTCAAATCGCCACAAAACTGCCACTGATGTTGGTCATAGTTTATGGACCTCAAAAGTTGTTTCATGTTGTTATAGGTTTCCTTCATATGGACTGCATGACCAACTGAAATTGATGGCAAAAAAGTTGCCATTATGCAGCAAAACAGCTTTAAGGCTCATCTTCGATTAATCAATTAACAGTCTCCACTCAACTGGATCATTAACGATTTTGTGGGCTGCCATCACACCGTCGATATTGTTGCAGGCTACAAGATCACCTTCCATGAAGAAGAATGGGACAAGATCCTTTTGACGGTCACGAACATGGAAAACCTAACATCACCTGCCAGGAGATTCCAGTGTTGCAGTCTGGAGCCCAACAGCTCTGCCTTACTCTTGGTGGTAGTTCCAAATCCCTGACAACGTCTTTCAGTTCACCTTGTGTTATGAGGTGTGGTTAAGAAGAGGAGGATGAGATAAAATCTGGGTCATGTAACCTTGATGGTTCAGGACCAGATGTTTCATCCTCTTCCTCACCTGACTCAAGTGGGAATGATTCTGGTGCATCAGGAATTGGCAGTCCTCCGTCTGGTACTGGGCGTATCGCTGATGAAATGTTTGGATAATGCACAGTCCACTTTTTCTTCTTTGACACACCTATCCCAACTTGAGACGCCATACAGAAGTAACAATTGCTGATATGATCTGTTGGCTGTTTCCAAATCATTGGCACTGCAAAAGGCATAGATTTCCTATTCAACCGCTGGCGAAGATTTGTTGCACAGGTGTTGCAGCATATGTGTGGGGCTCCATCTTGTCCTGATCTCCAATTTTGCAGCCAAAAAAGGTGATTGGCTTTCTTAACCATAGCGGTTATACTGCGCTTTGTGATGGAAAAGTCACTTCACCACAAACACGGCAGAAGCTATCTGCTTTGTTCACACAAGTACGAGGCATCTCTGCTTACTTTGGCAAAACA